ATCCCGGGGATGGATCCCGGGGATGGACCCCAGGGATGGATCCCGGGGATGGATCCCGGGGATGGACCCCAGGGATGGATCCCGGGGATGGATCCGGGGATGGATCCCGGGGATGGATCTCCGCTTCCCTCTCCCGAACGGCACCGAGGGCCCTCCCTGGGGCTGCACCCCAAAACAAACCTGGGAATTCCCACTTGGGACTACAGGATAAGGGGGCTGCACCCCCTGGGAATTCCCACCTGGGACTGCCAGGATAAGGGGCTGCACCCCAAAACAGCCCCTGGGAATTCCCTCCTGGGACTGCAGGATAACGGGGCCGCACCCCAAAACGCCCCCGGGAAGGCTCCCAGCAGCGGGGGGGATCCCGAACCCGCGGGGGATCCCGGCGGGACCCCAGCCCGCAGCCCCGGGGCGCTCCCGGTGGAACAAAGCCGCGATCGCTCCCGGGCGCAGAGAAGCGACAGCGGCGCTGATTTATTTCCCCTCCCGGCAGATAAATCGGCCTCGGGAACGGGGTTTGTGCTAAATTAAAATTTGCATGCGGTAATATATTTAAGCAACTTTCCTTCCACTCGGTTATAAACAGCGTTTCTCAGGGGGTTATTTCGGAGCTGGCCCCGTTTCATTTATCTCCGGCGTTAATTGGCGGGGTGGAAATTAAAACCACGGCGGCAAAAAAAAGAAAAAAATTAAAAAGGAAAAAAAAAAGAGGAAAAATTAATCAAATAAAAGAGCCGGGGGTGGGGGTTGGGAGGGAAATCACCGGCCGGGCACGGGCAGCAGCTCCGGGCCTCGGTGGAACCCGGGAAAGGCGGAATTGCGCCCGGGGCTCCCGGTGCGGGCCCGGTGGGCAGCGGGGCCGGTGCCTCGGGCGCCCGGCGGGCACCGTGCCCGCGGCCGAGGGTGGCGGGAGGGATTTTACATTCGGTTCTCTAGCTTTATGATATCTGACACACTCATACAGCTAGATAACCAAAGAGAAAAGCCCTCCCAGGTCTGCGGCCAGCGCGGGCACCGAGCCCCCGAGCTCTGCCCACCGGAGCCCCGGGTGGCACGGCGGGGCTGGCACGGCGGGGGTGGCACGGCCGCCCCGGGATGTGGCACGGCCGCCCCGGGATGTGGCACCGTGACACGACGGCCCCCGGTGCCCAGCCTGGAGCCCCAAGGCAACATCGCTGCCCCCCAGAAGGAGCCGGACCCCAAAGGGGGCTCAGCCCAGCACAGCCCCCGCGGCCTGGGGGATGGCACGGGGATGGCACGGGGATGGCACGGGGTGGGAATGGCACAGGTAGGGATGGCATGGATAGGCATGGCACGGGGGATGGCACGGGGCAGGGATGGCACGGGTAGTAATGGCACAGATAGGGATGGCACAGGGGATGGCATGGGGATGGCACGGGTAGGGATGGCACAGGAGAAGGCACAGGTAGGGATGGCACGGGTAGGGATGGCACAGGGGATGGCACAGGTGGGCATGGCACGAGGGGTGGCACGGGTGACCCCCAGGTCCAGCCCCACAGACAGGCCCGGGGTGCCGCGTCCTTGCCAGCCTAGCCCAGCCCAGCCCAGCCCAGCCCAGCCCAGCCCGGAGCCGCTCCCAGCGGAGAATTCCCGGGATCGCCGGCACGGAACTGCTGAGTCAGGAAAGTGATTCGGGCCCCCGGGGGTTCCCCCCGCGCCCTTCTCCTCTTCCTCCCCTTCCTCCCCCCTCCGCTCCCGGCTGCCCGCCCGGCGGGGACCCCGCACCTCCCGCGGCTGCGGGCCGGGATTGCCCGGGGGTTCCCCCCGAGGCCCCGGGATGGCCCCGTCCCCACCGGGAGGCACCGGGCAGCGGCCCCGGGCAGCGGCGGGGGCCGGTCCCGGGCAGCCCCGGCCGTGCGGCCGCTCAAACGGCGGAGCGGCTGCTCCGGTGCCCAGCGGGAGCCGGGGAGAGGAACGGAAGAGCCCCGGAAGGGTCCCGGGGAGCGCTCCCGGGGCGGCGGTACCTGCTCATCCCGCCGGGGCCGCTGCTGCCCGCGGTCGCCGTCGGCTCCGGGTCACCGCATCCTTCCCGGGCTGGCGGGGAGCGGCGGAGGCTCGGCCGGGGGATGGGGACGGGATTGGGACGGGATGGGATGGGATGGCCATCGCCGCCCGGTGCCGGTGGCGGTGCCGGTGGCGGTGGCGGTGTCGGTGTCGGTGGCGGTGCCGGTGGCGGTGCCGGTGCCGGTGCCGGTGCCGGTGCCGGTGCCGGTGCCGGTGCCTCTCCCGCCGCCCGCCGCCTCCGGGACCTGCCTGTAAAGTTGAGCCGAGTCGGCGGCGCGGGGCTGGCCGGAGGGCGGGGGAGGGCGGGAGGAGGGACGGGGCGGCCGGCGGGGACAAAGCCCGAGCGGCGGGGCCGGGACAGGCCGGGCGTGGGGCCGGGGCAGGGGTCACCCCCCCGGGAGGGGCTGCGCCATTCGCCACGGCCGCCGCCGTCCCCGGGGGCCGCTCCGTCTGCTCGGCCCGGGCCCCCCCGCCCGCGCCGCCCGCCGCACCGGCCCGCCCCGTCGGTGCCCCGGGGGTAACCCCGCTCGGGCAGGGCGCCGCCGGAGCCGCCCCCCGGGGCCGGGCCGGGGTTAAACCGCCGGTCCCAGGGAGGGGGAGCGGCCGCGGGGGTGGGGGGCGGCCGGGCCGGTCGCTCCCGTCGGGGCTGCGCTCACGGGAGCCGCCGGCAAAGGGGAAATTTGGAAGATGCTCGGGAGTCAAGCGGGGCTCGAACCGCCCCTTATCCCCGGTGTAACGGAGCCCACCGGGCGGCCCGGCCTCGGCCGCGGAGAAACCCCCCTGGCCCGGGAGAAGGCGCGGCCGCGGCTCGGAGGGCGGCGGGGCAGAGCCCGGGGCGCGGGGCCGAGCTCCGGCTCCACGTCCCCCCCGTGCGGCCACCCGGGGCCGGTCCCGCCGGCGCTGCCCGGTGCGGGGCCCCGCTCCGCTCTCCCGGCGGCCCCGGGGCAGCACCGGCCGGCGCGGGGGCACCGGGGCCTTTCCCCGGTACCCGCCGGGAGCGCACCGGGGGCACAGCCGCCCCGCACAGCCGGCCCGGGCACACCGGAGCGCCCGCAGCGCTCGTGTCAGCCCCGGTGCATCTCTCTCAGCGCCGGGCACACGAGCCCCGGTGCCCGCACGGCCTCGCACACGAACCCACGGCCACGCAGGACCCCCGCATGTCCCCCCGCTTGTCCCCGGTCTCCTCCGGTTCCCCCGGCCTGGCCTTGGCCCCGCGGGCTCCGCGGCCCTCCCGGGGCCGCCGCGTGGCACCCGGCTCCGGTGAAACGGCGGAAACGAAACCAACGAGCGGCCCCGGCCCGGCCCCGGCGGGGCAGCGGGAGCAGCGGGGCGGGCTGGGCGGCGGGGCCCGGCTCCCGCTCCCGGGGCTCCGATTTCGGGAGGGAGGCGCAGGTCCGACCCGGCCACCACTGCCCGGCCCGGCCTTCTACACACCCACCGCTGTATAGAGAGAATGCACAGAATATATAGGATATGCATAATATACACAATGTATAGGATATACACAATATACACAATGTACACAATACACACAATATATGGAATATATGGAATATACACAATATATGGAATATATGGAATATAGGGAATATCCTGCTGGAAGGAACGGCGGCGCCTGCGGAAATGCCAACCCGCCAGCACCGGGGGCTCCCCGGGAGCAGCGGAGCTCTCTGCCCGCACCGGGCACCCCTAGGCCTGGCCGGCCCTTGGCCGGAGCCCCCCAAACTGCCGCCGGCGGCCGCAGCATCGCGGGGAGCGAACGGAGCCTCCTCCCGCCGCCACCGGGCACCGGGGATCGGGCACCGGCCCCGCCGCTCTCCGTGGTGCTGAACGGCGGCCGCGCCGCGCCCCGGGGCCGTGCGGGCTCGCGCCGCCTCCGTCCTCCTCTCACCGAGCTGCCGCTAATTGATGATCATTATTACGGCTATTAATGATTATCGGTACCGTCCCCGCGGCCCCGGTGCTCCGCGGCACGGCCGAGCGCGGACAGCGGGGAGACGGTGCCAGCGCGGTGCCGGATTACCGGCTCGTCCCCCCGCACGGCCCCGGTGCTGCTGCCCGCCATCCTCCCCACGCTCCGCACCACGCGTGGGCCGAGCCGCCGCCGTTACCTCCGAACCGGGGCTCCGAAATTCCGCCCCGGCCGCCGGCGGCCCCGGCGGGCTCGGCCCCGCTGCCGTCCGCGCCGCCCGGGCCCGGCCGGTGCCCGCCGCGCTCCGCCGTGCCGGTGGGTCCCGCTGCCCACGGCTGGCTCCCGTTTGCCCGAAGGGAAAACCCCGGCAGCGAGCGCGGCCCCGCCGAGGGAACGAACGGGACGGCGGAGCTTCGCCGCCGTTCCCGGGAGCCGCTCCGGCCCGGGCCCGGCTCCGGGAGGGGTCGCTCGGGGCGGCGCGGGGGCTGCCGGTGCCGCTCTCGCCACCCGGGGCCCGCTGGCACCGCGCAGGGCCCGGGAGGGCCGCGGCCGCCCGGTTCGCCCCTGCCGGTCGCCGGTGCCCGGTGCCCACGGCTCGCCGGCCCCGCGAGGCGCGGGGGGGGCCTGGCATCGCCGCCACGGCCGCCCCACGCGTGTCCGCGCCGGGGGCCGCACGGGGGCCGCCCGGGCCCGCTCCTCACGGCACTTACCGACTCGCCGCCCGCCTGTACCCGGTTCCCCGGCGGCTGCGGGCGCTGGGCAGGCCCCGGCGGCGCCGGTGCCCCGCTCTGCCCTCGCCGCCAGCCCGGTGTGGCTGAAATACCTTCACTACAGCGCCATGTTGGGCTCCGGTGCGAGCACGGCGCTCGCCGCAGGAACCGGCGGCCGCCTCGGCGGGAGGCAGCGCGGCCGGGGCTCGGCGCGGGGGCCCCGCTTCCCCCCGGAGCACCGGAGCACCGGAGCCCGGCCGGCCGCGGGGCCCTGTCCCGGCGCACCGAGCCACGCCGCCGGCCCGGGAAGTTGCCACCGCGCCCGGTAACGCCACCAACTGCGGGTCCCGCACCTGCCACGCATCCCTCCGGTGCTCCGGGGGCACAGCCGCGGTTACCTCCGCCTCGCCCGGTGTCCGGTGCCCGCGACGCCGCCCGGCCGTGCCCACCTGGGGAGGGAAGGAGAGAAACGGCGCGTCAGGAGCGGCCGCCGCCATCGCCCCAACTTGGAGCAACTTTCCCGGCGGGCCCGGGGGGCGGGAGGCGCCGGAGCCCCTGCCCGGTCCGCCGGGGCCGGTGCCAGCGGCGGGCACGGCGCGGGTGCCCCGCAGCCGGTGCCTCCACGCGCGGCGTGGGCACAGCCCAGGGCCGCGCGGGGACGCGGCCTCCGCCGCCGGGGCCGGCCAGGCCAGCCCGGGTTTGGGCAGCCCCGGCCCCGGTGCGTGTCCGTCTGTCCGGCCGGGTCCGTCTGTCCCGGCCGCTCCTGCCCGGCCACCCCCGCCGCTCCCCGGGCACCGCAGCCGCTCCCCGCCCGGCCCGCTTCCCTTCCAAAGTGGATTTTTCTGCTGTTTTATTTCCCTCCCCGCTTTTTCTCCCACCGAGATTTATTTCTTTCCCCCTCGTCCTTTTTTCTTTTCTTTTTCCCGCCCCAATTTTTGCTTTTCTCTAATTTTCCCCCCTCCCTCGCCCCGCTCGTTTGGCTCCACCGTCGCTGGGAATTATTTGCATTTAAAATACAACGACTCGTTTCCCTCCGCGTCGCTTCGCGGCTCGGTTCCAGCAGCACGGGAGAGGCGGGGGAGCCATCCCGAGGAAAAGGGGTCCCCAAATCCCCGGGAAAATCCCCCCGAATTCCTGCCCAGCTGAAAATATCGATGTGGGGGAAAACTGAAGGTTGAACAGATTTTAATGATTTTCTTCCCGCAGCCGCTGTCACCCAAAGGTGTCGTGGCAACAAAGGGCGGGATGGCGTTTGACGCTCCTATTTTTGGCCTAAATATTTGCCGAAATATTCCCCCGAACGCTTTGCCAAAGATCGCTGTGCCTCGAAGCCATCACATCCTGCCCCGCCGAGCGCTTCCGAGGAAAATCTGATTTTCCATTTCTCCCCCGCGCCGGGAACGCGGACGCGCGGCACCGCCAGAACTGCGAGCGAGGGAAGGGACTGGGAACCCAACAACCGTTCCCAGTCCGAACTGGGAGCGGGATGCTTTTCCCCCGTCCCCCGGAGATTCCCGGCTCGGGGACAGCGGCGTGGAATTGGAATTCCTCCCGTGCCCGCTCGGGCAGAGCCGGCCGCAGAAGGAACCCCCAGATACTTTTTTTTGGTTTTTTTTTAAAGGGGAAAAATAGCAATAAACCAAGAGAATTAATTATTTTTTTTTCCTTTCGCCAGAAATGCCGAAAATTCAACCTCGTCTTTTTGCATGGGGATTTTTTTTTCCCCTTGTGTTCTTTTTTTTTTTTTCTTTCTTTTTTTTTTTTTTTGGTTATTTTTACAACCTCGCTCCAACGCAGGGATGGAACGGGATACCCACACAACACACAACCCCGCACAGTACCCCCCACGCCTCATTCTCCCTGCTCTCATCTTTTTTTCTTTTTTCTTTTTTTTTTTTTTTTAACCCCAAATCCTTCCCCCGCAAAATTAAAAATAATTTTTAAAAAAAATAGCTGCACACAGCGAAAGTTCTCTCCGGCAGCCCCTTACCTCGGGCACCGGGCAGGGCAGGGCAGTCGGTCCGACCGGCCCCGGGGCTACAAACCCCGGGGTGGCTTTTGTGAGTTTGCCGGAGTTTCCCCGGGCCGTCCCCTTTTGTGTCCCATTGCCATCTAGAGGCCCCGATTAATTAATTTCACACCGAAGCTCGGGAGAAAATTTTCCCACAAAACAAGTGAGCGAGGAGATGTGAAACTCCAAAGAAAAGGAGTCAACATCAAGTTCAACAGCGTGCGGGGCGAGGCGGATTTCCATCACAATCGCGGCGGCCCCGCGCCCCCTCCGCGCGTTCCCAGGCTCGGAACAATCGCGCTCTGTTCGCCGCGCACATGCCGCCGGTGGGCGCGGGGGCTGCCTCGGGAGGACGGGAGGGACGAGGGGAGGGGGGCTGGGAACGGCCGGGCGCTCCGGGGCGCCGCCGGTACCGACCTGTTGAGCCGCGGCCGCGGGAGCGCGCGGGGAGAGCCGCGCCGGGCGGCGGGGCCGGGGGAGGGTCCGCGGGGACCCCGGAGCGGCGCGGGGGGACGGGGAGACCCCCGGAGAGGCGCGGGGACACTTTTGCCGAAGTTTGCCGCGCCCCCCTCGTCTCCCCGCGGTTTCCCACAGCCCCGGGGGAGCGGGGGGCGCGGGCCCGGGGAGCGGGGGGCCGGGGCCCGGGGTGGCCGAGGCGGTGGTGGACGTGTCCTGCAACCCAAGCAGCTCGGCTCCGCCGGGCATTGTCCCCACGGAGCCCGTGGCCATTGTTCCCGGCGCTGCGGGAGCCGGAGGGAGGGCAGCTTTCCACGCCTCGTACCCCCCCGCCGCCCCCCGCCGCCGCACCCCCACCCCGGCACTCGCACCGGGGCCCCGGGACCCTAATCCGGGGCGACGGGGCGGGGGGAGGGCAAAGAGCACCCCGCCCGCCCCCCGAAAAAATAAATGACAAACGGCGGGCGAGGGAAGGGGAGGCGCGGGGTCGCCCCTCGCAGACTTCCTCCAAGTTGGGAGAACGGGAGGGGGAGCGGCGGCCGCCGGTGCCCGCCCAGCCCGGCCCTGCCCCTCCGGCACCGGCGGCACCGGCGGCCGCCCCGGCGCGGGGAGTTCGGTGCGGGCCAGGGGAGAGGAGAGGGGGAAAAAAACGGCGGCGGAAAAAAAAGAGAGGGAGCGGGGAGGGGATTATTTACCTCCCTCCGCACCTCTGCGTCCGTTACCGACTTAGCGGCAGCAAAACCGGGAGCCGCCGGGACAGCGGCAGCCTCCGGGCCGTGGGGCTGGGGGAACCGGCACCGGCAGCAGGCGGGACGCGGAGCCCGGGGCCATCCGGGCGCTGCTGCGGCTCCCGGAGAGCACCGGCGGGGCTGCGGGCAGCGGAGCCCCCCGCGATCACGTCGCCGTTACGTGGGGTTAAACGGGGAACGTCCGCCCGCGGCTCGAACCCGCCGAGCGCACCGGGCAGCCCCGGCGTGAGGTGGCCGTGGCGGGGGGCGGATTCCGCCCAAACATCCATTTTGTCCCTTTTGGAAATGGAGATGGGAGAGAGGAGGGGAAAAAAAAAAAAGCGTCTTTTTTTTTTTTTTTTTTTTTTTTTTTTTTTTTTTCCGGCTTTCTCCATATTTTACTACGTAAGGAATGACGCGGCCGCGGCGGGAGCGGGATAGGTCAGCCCGGAGCTCGGGGCGGGAGGGGGAAACCGGGCTGGGGGGGCGCGGGGGCGGGGGGCGGCTCTGGCAGCAGCAGAACCTAAAAATAACCAGGATTTTATTATTAAAAAAAAAAGAGAGAGAGAATAAAAATAATAATAATAATGATAATAGTAATAACAGCAATCCCGCTGACCCCGCCGATGCGGCCCTGCACGGGCAGGGGTGACACCCGCCGCTCCGGGGACCCCACCGCGCCCTGCCCGGGGACCCTCGGGATTTGGGGCACCCCACGGGGTGCGCGGGGAGGTTTTGGGGCGCTCCTGCCCTTCCCCCCCTCCGGGGCTGCGGAGGGCGCTCCCCTCTCCCCGGCCGCTGCGGGATGGTTGCGTGGAAATGAAGGAGAAATCGGCTATTTTTTATTTCATTCCAGCCCAAATCGCTCCGCGGGTTCACAGCCCCGAGCCCCGGGAGCGGCCGGGGATGGATTCCGCCTCCGCCGCTCCTCCGGCCGCGCCGGGATTTTGGGAGCGCTAAAAAAACCCAAACCAAACCCCGGGGGCTCCGTGCGGCTCCCGGGGGGGTTTGCGCCCCAAATTCGGCCCCGCGGATGGGGGGGACACCCAAGGGACACCCAACCCCTGCAGACCGGAGCTCCCGAGCGCGGCCGGGGCGGGCCGGGCCTGGCCCCGACCCCGGGAGCCACCGGGATGCGCGGCCGCCGCCGCCGAACCGGGACCGCGCCGGTGCCGGTGCCGGTGCCGCCCCGCCGCCCTCCCAAGTCCTGCCCGCCCCGGGGACGAGCAGCTCCCGGCCCGGTGCTGCCGGGAGGGCCCCGGGCTCCGCGCCCTCCCCTAATGAGCTCCGCTTATGCATTTCCTCATTAACGAATATTTCCCGCGGCCGAGCTGGGGGGCACCGGGACGCGCGTCCCCGGCCGCCCCCCGCCCGTCCCGTCCAACCGGGGCTTCCCGGGGTTCGGCCGCTCCCTGCCGGCCCCGGGAGGAGCAGGAGGCCCGGCCTGGCCGTCGGACACCCCAAATCTTGCGGCCAGAACGGAATTTCCGTGCCCGGTGCCGCGGTGCCCTCGGTGAGACCCCCGGCTTGCCCGGGACTTTCCCCCGGTAAAGGCGCTCGGGCCGGGCCCGGCTCCTCCAGCCGCCCGGTACCGGCGGGGCCGCTGCCCCCCACCCCCGACGGCGCCGATTTAGGGGAGTGGGTGGCGTATTTTGGCTCCCTGATGGAGTTTTGATCAAAAATTCATTAAGAGGCGCTCGGCGCAGCGCCATGAATATTTCAGGGGTTTTGCAAAACAACAAAGTGGGTGCTCGGGGGAGGCTGCACCGGCGACGGGCAGCCCCCGGTGCCCGTCTCGGCCCCGGTTTGAGGCGGCGGGAGGGACCGGCCACCTCCGTTCCGTCGGGGCCGAGGCGGCGACCGCTGGCCCGCAGCCCCGGGGCTCGTTGCTGCCCCGTTAAACGGCCCCGGTTGGAGCCACCGTGACAATCCGGAGTGTCCCCGGCCCTGTCCGCGGTCACGCGTGGCCGTGGGGCAGCTCCGGGACGGTCCCTGAGCTCCGCAGCGCGGGGTGGGGGCAGCGGGGGGACCCCGCGGCCACCCGGGGTGTCCCCTCGGAACGGCGGCATCACCCCCCGAGGGATCCGGTGGCAGGGGCAGGAATTGCCCCCAAACCCCCCACCCCGGGCAGGCACGGAAAGGTCCCCGGCCCCCAAATTGGGGTGCGGACCCCCCCAGCACCTCCCGGCCGCAGCACAGCGAGAGGCGCCGGCTCCGAGCGGAGACAAAGCCCCGGCGGCCCCGCGGGCCCCCCGCGCCCCCCGGAGCAGCGCAGCCCCGGGTGGGCCCGCACGGAACTGGGATTTACCGGGGCACCTCCCGGGCCGGCTGGGAAGGGGCCACGGAGCGCCCGAGGCGGTCACACCGGGCCGTGACCGGGGACGCCGCGGCTCCGCCGCTCCCCGGTGGCACCGCCAGCACCCCAAGGAGGCTGCGGGCCCCGGGGTGCCACCTCCGGGGCAGTGCCACGGGCACGGCGCCCACTCCGCGAGGCCGGGCACGCGGGGACCGAGAGGCCGCTCCGAGGCCGCAGCGGGGCCGGGGGCACCCCGGGGCACCCCCGAGCCCGGTTCGGGACGTGTCGCAATGGGCGGTACCGGACCTGCAGGCAGGGCTGGGATGTGCGGCTCCGGCAGCTCCCGGCGCTCCCGCCGCTGCCCTCCCGGTCCCGCCGGCCGTTCCCGTGTCCCGGTGCCGGGATCCGCCGCGTCCCCCCCGCCGCCACCTCCGCCACCCCGGCCCGGCCGCCCCCGGCCCCTCCCCGGGGCTCACCTCGCCCTGACATTTCCTGGCGCTCCTTCCATGCCAGCGGGTTGCCATAGCAAATCTAAATCTTGCAAACAAAACCAGGGGAGGGAGGGAAAAAAAAAAGAAAAAAAAAAAAAAGCAAAAAAAGCAGCCTGATTAGCATATATTCAAATGAGGCGTGCAATAATGCAAACCATAAATCATGCAGTCATTGCTATTCAATCAGTGTCTCTTACCCCAGCCCCCACTCTGCACCCGCTGGGTCGCCTCCCCTCCTGCCACAAGCCCCGGCCCGGGCCCGAAGGTGGCCCTGGGGGGACCTGCCACCCTCCGGAGGGGACCTGCCACCCTCTGGGGGTGGCCCCGGCCCGGCCGGGCCCCGGGGCTCGGGCAGCCCCCTAATCCCGCCCGGTATTTACGGCGCTCCGTTAAACCCGGCCAGCTCCTCCCGGATTAATCTCCCGCCCGGGTTTTAATCCCGGGGCTGTGATCCCCCCCAGCCCCAGCCCCGGCCCCGGCCGGGGGAAGGGGCCCAGCTCGGCCCCGGAGCGCGGGGGGGACCCCCAGCCCTGCCCGATCCCGAGCTGGGGGTGCCCAAGCGGAGTTGGGGGCACCCGAGCCCCCCCAGAATGTCCCTGGGGGTGGTGGCGCGGCAGGGCCCTGCTGTCCCTCCCGGTCACCTCGGCAGCGTGGCCGTGGCCGTGGCCGTGGCCGTGGCCGTGGCCGTGGCCGTACCCAGCGCACCACCGGCCCCAGGGGATGTTCCCGACCCCCAAAACTCGGCAGGACCCCCAAACCCAGCCCAGTCCCGAGCTAAAACAGGCCCGGCTCAGCTGGGCCGGGTTTAACCCCCTCCCTGCCCCCCAAATCCCACTTTGAAGGGGTTTTCCCTTCTCCCACCTGCTCTGAGACCACCGAGAGGATTTTTTGGGGTCACCGAGGGGTGGGAGCAGCACGGCTGAGCCCCAAGGACGTGACCAGAGCAGGGGTGGCCCGGCTGTCACCCACGCCGCCGGCCGGTGTCCCCCGAGAGGTGGCTCTGAGCCTGGGGACACGCGGGGGGACAGCGACGGGGGGACCGAGGGGGTGCGGGCGAGTGCCACCTCTCCCCTCAATGCCGTGCCACCCCAAAGCGGGCTGCCTGACCCCAAAAACCTCACAGCAGACACCCCGAGGCCCCCAGCTCTTTATTGCTGCGGAGACAATAAATAGAAAGGAGCCCCTGGCTGGGGGCGCAGCGCCCCCCGCCCCGCCCGCCCCTGTCCCCTGTCCCCTCCCCTGTCCCCGTCCCCGCGGAATGGAGCGGCTGTCGCTGCTCTCGGTCCTGCTGCCACCGCGTGGCACTTCCCGGCCTCTCCGCCGGCCGGGGACGCGCTGCTGGCACGGGCGGGGACGGGCGGGGACCGGCGGGGACGGGCGGGGACGGTGCCACCGCACCGGGCACCGCCACAGCGCCGGGCCGAGCCGAGGGGAGGGGACCTGGTGGCGTTTGGGGGGCTCCGGGGAGGCTTGGGGGGGGTCTCAAGGAGCTGCAGCCCCAGGCTGGGGGACAGTGACCCCGCGGGGAGCCCGGTGGCACCGCCACGGGCACGGGGGGCTTCCCGAGGGGCTGGGCTGGGGGAGAAGCGGGGGGCCGCTCCCCCGAGCCGGGTGTCCCCCTCCCCGCGCCCCGCCGGCCGCGCTATCTCTGCCAAACGTCCACGGGCGTTCCCCGCCGCGCGGGGACCGGGACCCGCTGCCCGGCCGGCGGCGGCCCCGGCGCGCACGGGGGGAAGAAGCCCTTGGCGAAGTCGCCGCGGGGCTGGAGGTCGCCGGGGGCTCGGGAGGCTTCGCTGAGGGTCGCCAGGCTGGTCAGGGGGGGCTGGGGGGTGCCCGGGGGACAGCCCAGCCCCGGTGACACCCGCTCCGACTTGATGCTGATGGCCTGGTGGCGCTGCGGGGACGCGCAGGGGACAGCGGGCGGCTCCTCCGCGGGCACGATGCGGCTGCTGGCCCTGGGCGAGAGGGGACGGGCTGAGGGGTGTCCCCGTGTCCCCCGCCGGGTGTCCCTTTCCCCCAGAGGGGTTGAGACCCCCCCGAGCTCCTGTCCTGGGCTGGTGCTGGCCCAGTTGGGAGTGTGACCGGGGGGACACGCGGGGACAAGATCCACGGGGCTGGAAATGAGCTGGGGGTGCTTGGGGGTGAGCCCCGAGACCACCCTGGTGGGTGGGGGCTGCCCCTCGGTGCCAGCAGCGCCCGTGGCTGGGTGTGGCAGCAGCAGAATGGGGTCACCCTTGCCTTGTCCCCCCTGTCCCCTGCCCCAGGGCCACCCCATCCTCACCCCAGTGCTGCCATGTCATCCCCAATCTGTCCCCACCCTGTCCCCCCCTGTCCCCCTGTCCCCCTGTCCCCAGCCCGTCCTCACCCCAGCGCTGCCACGTCCCGGGGGTGCTGCCACGCCGGGGGCTGCAGGAATCCGGGGGGCGGCGGGACCTCGGCAGCCCCAAAATCTGCGGGTGGGGGGAGGCGGTGAGCGGGGAGGGGGACACGGGGAGGGTGACACGGGGAGGGGACAAGGGGAGGGGATGAGGGGAGGGTGACACGGGGAGGGTGACACGGGGAGGGTGACACGGGGAGGGGACAAGGGGAGGGTGACAAGGGCAGGGGACGAGGCCGGGGAGCGCCACTCACCCGCGGGCGCCGGGCTGAGGAAGGGGAAGGCGGCCAGGCCGTGGCTCGGGAGGCCGGAGCTGCCGGGGCTCAGGGGCTGCAGGCCGGGGAACAGCGGCCGCTGCGGGAACGGGGGACCCGATGGCATCGGAGCCCCGGGGGACCCCTCCCCACCCTTTCCGGAGCCCCGGGGGACCCCTCCCCACCCTTCCCGGAGCCCCGGGGGACCCTCCCCACCCTTCCCGGAGCCCCGGGGGACCCCTCCCCACCCTTCCAGGAGCCCCAAAGCCCCGGGGGACCCCTCCCCACCCTTCCCGCAGCCCCGGGGGACCCTTCCCCACCCTTCCCGCAGCCCCCCGGCCCCCCCCAGGAAGGGGAGGATGGGAGGAGCGGGATTTGGGGAGGGGATTTGGGGAGGGGACAGCTGGGTGGCCTTGGGGACAGCCGTGTGACCCTGGGGAGAGTCGTGTGACCTTGGGGACAGCCGTGTGACCTTGGGGACAGCCGTGTGACCCTGGGGACAGCCGTGTGACCTTGGGGACAGCCGTGTGACCCTGGGGACAGCCAGGTGGCCCTGGGGACAGCCGACTCACCGCCACACTGCCGCCGCTCCGGCCGCTGGCCAGGCCGCCCTGGCACTCGCCGCGCCGGCCCTCGGCCCCCAGGAACAGCGGTGGGGACATCCTGGTGGCCAGGGCACGGCCCAGGGTGGCAGCAGGGAACAGGGGGTGGCCCAGACCTGGGGACAGGGGACAGCGGGACACGGGGGTGATCCTTGGGGGGCACCCACGGGCGGCTGGGATGCCCTGTGGGAATGTCCGGCGTGCCTGAGGTGCCCACCCAAGGATTTGGGATGCCGCTGCCTGTCCCCTGTCCCCATCCCACACCACCTCCCACCCCCGGGGGTTTCCACTGCCCAAGGTCGCTCTGAGGCGTTTCCAGCCACTTTTCTGTCCCCTCATCACCCAAGGGGTGGGGATGGGGTGTCCAGGGTGAGGATGGGGTGCCCAGGGTGGGGATGGGGTGTCCAGGGTGAGTATGGGGTGCCCAGGGTGGGGATGGGGTGCCCAGGGTGGGAATGGGGTGTCCATGGTGGGGATGGGGTGCCCAGGGTGGGGATGGGGTGCCCAGGGTGGGAATGGGGTGCCCATGGTGGGGTGCCCAGGGTAGGGATGGGGTGCCCAGGGTAGGGATGGGGTGTCCATGGTGGGAATGGGGTGCCCAGGGTGGGAATGGGGTTCCCACGGTGGGCACTGGGGTCCCACAGCAAGGACAGTGGCCCATGGTGGTGCCAGGGTGGGGACAGGACCCCCACGGCAGGGTCCCCTCCCCTGTACCCGCAGTGTCCCCGAGCCTACCTGGGGGCAGTGGCCCTGGGGACCGTCCCGGTGGCTTTGGGGCCGCGGCTCGGGCGGTGGGAGAGCGGCCCTGGCCCTGCGGGGAGCTGCTGCCGCTGCCCAGGGCGGCCTCGGGGGCCGGGGGGGAGCTGCCGTAGGCGGCCTCGGGCAGCGGCACCGGGCTCTGCGGGACACGGGGGGTCAGGGACAGCCACCCCAGGGACACATGGGGACCTTCAGGGACACGCGGGGGTCAGGGACAGCCACCCCGGGGACACATGGGGGTCAGGGACAGCCACCCCGGGGACCCCTGGGAACTTTTGGGGACCCTCGGGGTTCTGCAGGACAAACCAAAAACCAAGGACAGGGATGGGGACACTTGGGGACATTCAGGGCTCTTCAGGGTGAAGCAGAGCTCAAGGACAAGGAGTAAAGAGGGACCCTCAGGGACCCTCAGGGACCCTTCAGGACAAACCAGAGGTCAAGGAGGGCGTGGGGACCCTGCAGGGATAACCAGAACCCAGGGACAGGGAGGGGACAGGACCCTTGGGGACCCTCAGGGACCCTGCAGGACAAACCAGGGGACAGGACCCTTGGGGACCCTCAGGGACCCTGCAGGACAAACCAGGACCCAAAGAGAGGAGGGGACAGGACCCTTGGGGACCCTCGGGACCCTGCAGGACAAACCAGGGGACAGGACCCTTGGGGACCCTCGCCAGCGACTCACATAAAACCTGGCCCGTGCCAGCGCCAGATCCGCGCCCTCGCCGAGCCTCCTGCCCCTGTCCCCGGGCGGCTCCGGGCCCTCCTCCAGCTCCAGCTCGTGGCTCTCCAGCCCCAGCCCTTTGCGCTTCAGCGTCTGCGGGGAGGCCACGGGCACGGTGAGCGGGGCCCTGCGGTGCCCGGGCCCCGGGGCCGCCCCGGCCGCTACCTCGAGGATGTCGGAGTTGGTGCGGCTCTCGTGGGGCTCGCTGTACTCGGTGTACTTGAGCAGCACCTTGTCCATGTCGCTGCTGGCGTACTGGAACAGGCGGTTGGTGCTGTTGAAGATGATCAGGGCGATCTCGCAGTCGCACAGCACGCTCAGCTCGTACGCCTTCTTCATCAGCCCGAATTTCCGCTTGGTGAAGGTCACCTGCGCGGCCCGGCCGTGAAACCCCCGAAAGTGGCACCCACGAAACCCCCCAAAAGCGGCGCCCATGAAACCCCCCGAGAGTGGTGCCCGTGAAACCCCCGAAAACGGCGCCCACGAAACCCCCCAAAAGTGGCTCCCATGGGACCCCCCGAAAGCAGCGCCCGCTTCCCCCAGAAACGCTCCCCGTGGGGTCCCGGCAGCGGGTTCAGGGGGGGTTTCACTCCCGTCCTCCTCGTCCCCACCGAGCAGCCCCCACCTGCCGGTTCCGCTGATCCAAAATCCGGCTGATCTGGATCTTTTTCCGGCCCATTTTCGCCTCCTCCGCCGGGTTTGGGGCTGGAAGGGAGCGAGAAGCGCCTGAGCCCCGCAGCCCTGGGGCTGTCCCCACGCAGAGGCCGCCCCAGCACCGCCAAAAATAAGTTGGGCCGCCGAAAAAATCGATTTTCAGAGGAAGTTCGGTCATTTCTTCTTCCGCGAAGATGGTGGCCAAGCGGGAAATGGGGCAAAATTGGGAAATTCTGCTGAGTTAGAGGGGGAAAAATCCCCTTGGCCTTGCCCAGCCACCCCCACCCACCGCTCCCCGAGCACCTTGGGGTGTCGGCCGTGATCCCAAATCCTCCAGGGGGACTTTGGGATCAGAGCTCTCACCCCAAACCCCGGGGCCGCTCCGAGGCTGCTCCGAAGCCGCTCACGGTGGGACGGGGAGGGCGTTTAAAGGGGGCCGGGCTGGCGGCGGGGAGGGTCCCTCAAACCCAGGGGTTGGTTTTAGGTTCCAATTCGGGGATTTTTTTTTTATTTTTAAATTTTTTTTGGGTTTTTTTTCAAGCTCCAGCAGACTAAATTTGACCTCCGCCACTGGCAGGCCAGGAAGTGGCTGCACGAGCAAAGTGAAACCACCCACTCGCCCCTGCTGCCACCAGAGCCAGCGCCGAGCAGGGACACGGGGCTGGGGACACCCCTGTGCCACCCTGGCTGCGGGGTCACCGTGCCCCCCGAGCCTGTCACAGCGCTGGGACACCCCCCTGCCGCCCCCTCCCCCCAATTCCTGTCCTCTGCCACCCCCACAGCAACACCCACCCCAAAACCCCCCAAATCTGGGGATTTTTGGGCTCAGCGGGGCAGAACCACGCCTGGCACCAAGATGTCCCCAACGGGACCCCCGTGCCCACCCTGCTGTGGGGACAGAGGTGGCCTGGCCGTGTCCCTGCTGTCCCCAAGGCACAGCCCCGGGGCAGGAGCGGGGCTGGCAGGCAGCGGGGTGGCAGCTCCGTGTTGGGGACACCTCTGGGACCCCCCCATGCCAGGCTGGATGCCAGGGGGGCACTGGGGGACCCTGGGGCGCCCTGGTGCCCGCGGCGTGTCCCGCTTCCCCCTCTCCAGCGCGTTGCCGTTTTACCATCCTGCTCGGCTGCTATTTTTAGCCGATCAAAACTAATTTTAATTTATGGAAGGAAATGGCGCTGCCGTTCCCACGGCCCCGCTGCCACCTTGTGTCCCCGAGCCCACGCACAACCCCCCCCGTGCCCCCTCCGAGGTCCTGGGGGTGCCCGGAGCACCCCGGCCCTGCCGGAAAGGGACGAGAATTGCCCGCTGGAAGAGGAGAGGTTTTCCTGTTCCCAACTTTCCCCAGTGCTGGAACTGCTCCGGCACCTGCGGCGCGCCCCGGGGACATCCCGAGCTGGGGACATCCCGAGCTGGGGACATCCCGAGCTGGGGACATCCCGAGCTCCCCGTGGGTCCTTCTGGGGTGGGAGTTTGGGGCTGGGCCTTGGGGTTTGGGGCAGGGGGTGATTTGGGGGGGACGAGGGATGGATGATGGATGGATGGATGGATGGATGGATGGATGATGGATGGATGGATGGATGATGGATGGATGGATGGACACAGGGATGGACAGATCCATGGGTGGATGGAGGAATGGATGGATGGATCCATGGACACAGGGATGGATGGATGGATCCATGGACACAGGGATGGACAGATCCATGGGTGGATGGAGGAATGGATGGATGCATGGATCCATGGACACAGGGATGGACAGATCCATGGGTGGATGGAGGAATGGATGGATGGATCCATGGACACAGGGATGGACAGATCCATGGGTGGATGGAGGAATGGATGGATGGATCCATGGACACAGGGATGGACAGATCCATGGGTGGATGGAGGAATGGATGGATGGATCCATGGATGGATGGACAGATCCATGGGTGGATGGCTGCGTCCCCCACCTGCAGCAGGGACATGAAATAATTCCAAGGATTTCCTTGGGGACGATGCCCCACAGGTGGGTGCTCTGGTACCTCAGTGCCCCACGGGGTGATGCCCAGGGGGTCCTGGAAGGTTCCAGAACCCACAGAGTGATTCCAGGGGGGTTCTGGAATGGGCAAACACCCACAGGGTGATGCTGAGAAGGTCCTGGAAGGTTCCACCATGGGATGATGCTGAGAAGGTCCTGGAAGGTGGGGAGGGAGTCCAGAGGAAGCAGAGCCGCATCCCCGTCCATCCAGGGGGTCCAGGGGGTCCAGGCTGGGACTCGGTGCCGGGAGAAGCGGCCAAGGCCTCGTGCAGCACCCGGGGCTGTTTCACCAGCCTGAGGTGGCACCAGCGACACACCCCTCGGTGTCACCTCGGCCACCGCGTCACCGGGACCCCCGGGCAGGTGGGAAGGGCTCGGAGGGGAGGGGGGATTTTCCCGCTGGGTTTTAGTTGGGATAAAGTGATCGTGGGCAGGGGAGTTCAAATGGGGAGTTTAAAATGGGGATTTCAAATGGGGGTTTGAAGTGGGGAGTTAAAATGGGAATTTGAAATGGAGGTTTGACATGGGGGTTTGACATGGAGATTTTAAAATGGGGATTTCAAATGGAGATTTTAAAATGGGGAGTTAAAATGGGGGTTTGAAATGGAGATTTTAAAATGGGGAGTTAAAATGGGGGTTTGAAATGGGGGCTTGACATGGAGATTTTCAAATGGGGATTTCAAATGGGGATTTTAGGAGCACCAGGCACTGAGCACGGGGCCCAGAGGGACAAATCCAGCCCTGGCCCCGCGGTTTTGGATCCCGGGGATCCCCTGGGGACGGCTGAGCTGGTGTGAGCAGCATCCTGAGCCCGGCACGGGGAAAAGTCAAAGTTGAGCGCGGAGTTTGTGCCGGGCCCTCCTGCTTTTTATAGGTTGTTTGAACAAGCGACCAGTACAAACCAGCGCGGGGCCGGGTGGGGACTGGGAGCCGGGAGGAGCCAGCTGGGAAATGGGGCAAAGGCGGGCGTGCGGCTCCCAGGGGTTGTTGGGACCACCACGACCTCCCCAAAGCGTCCCCAGCTCCCAAACATCCCCCAACAGCCATAAAACCCCTCAGGGTTGGGGCTCTGGGGACCGCCACCCTCCAGCCCCGCTGTCACCTCGCTGTCACCGTCACTGTCACCCCGGGGGTGACACAGAGCGAAAGTCCCGGGCGCTGCCACGGCCCGGTGCCGATGGGCGGAGGATTTTCGGTTCCGAAATGAGTGTGGGGAAGGAGGAAGGATTGAAAGGGCCCCAAAAACGCGGCGGCCTGGGGAGGACGGATGGACACAGGGACCCCTCCCAGCCTCGGTGGGTGCCACGTCCGCGGCAGGGGACTCGCAATTCCCGTGGGATTGGGCTGGAATTCATTTGGGCTGTGCTCCCTGGTGTGCTCCTGACAATCCTGCGGGGATTTGCGGGAAGAGGAGGGAAATTCAAGGGGTTAAATGAACCCAATTTCCCCCCAAATCCTTCTGGTGCCCCCCCAGCAGCGTGCCAGGCTGTGCAGGCCCCTCACAGCGGGCATGACCCAGCAGGATCCCCGTCCCCTCGCACAGAAGTTTCCCAAAGTTTCCCAAATCCACTTTTTTGGGATGTTGTGGGTGCCCCGGGCTTGGAGGTGGCTGGGAACCAAAATCCTAAACCGGACCTGGGGCTGCCCCCACCTCCCTCCTCCCCCAGCCCTGCCCGGACGTCACCGGGACCGGGACGTGCCCGGCCGGCAGCGGGGCCGTGGAAACCGGCCAGGAGCGGGATGGCCGGATGGGCACCCACGCTCCTCTCCCACCCCTGCCCCCAGGGGTGCCCAGAGGGTCCCTGGGGGGGCACAGCCACGGTCCCGTCCCTGCTGTGCCGCTCACCCCGAGATTCCACCGGGAAACTCCAGAGCTGGGAAACTCCAGAGCTGGGAGAGTTTCTCTCGTGAAAAGGGCAGAAACGTGAGCATGGGGACAGCACAGGGACAGGGACAGGGATGGGGACAGGGACACAGACAGGGACAGGGGACAGGGATGGGGACAGGGGACAGTGACAGGGACAGGGACGGGGATGGGGACAGTGACAGGGACACGCTGGCAGAGGGCTGCGCTGGGCAGGAGGATCTGGCAGAGGATGCACCTCGCACCCCACGGGTGCCAGGGGCACCCAGGTGCACTGGGACACGCTGGAGATGCCACATGGAGGTGCCACCACCCCGAAGATGGCCCTGGCAGGAGCCCTGGCCGTGTCCCATCCCCCGAAGGACCCGGGCTGCCACCGGCACGCCCTGGGAGCCACCAGGCCGCAGTGCCACCCCAGCGAGGTGACAGCGCCATCGGGGGTGGCCGGGCGCGCTGTCACCGCTCTCGCTACAGCCACGTCGAGCCGACAGCTCGCCGGTGCCGTGCCTCAGTTTCCCCCAGCGCCGTGCGCCCAGCCGCAGCCCCCAGCGGCGCCGGTGGCCCCGGGGGTGGCGGGGAGGTGGCGGCGGGGCCGGGGCAGGGCGGCTGCCACCCAGGCTGCGCTTTTGGGTTAAACGCGGGCGTTCCTCCCTGCGCAGACACGAGTAAAAATAACCGCCCCGAGCTCGGCGCAAACCACAGGCTTTTTATAGCCCGCCATCCCGAGACGGCGGGGCGGGGGCCGGGGCTCCGCCGTGCCCAGCGCAGCCCGCCGGGCGCCGGCCCGGCCGCACCGGCCCCTCCCCGGGACCGGCCCCGCTCCCGCTCCCGCTGCCCGTGCGCGCCGACGGCGCGGCCGCCCGCAACGGACGGAGCCCCGGGCGGAGAAAAGCGGAGCAGACGGCGCTGCCGTGGCCTGTCACCGTCCCCTCTGCCCGGTGCCGGTCACACCGGGGCGCGGGACCCCCGGTGCCCGCCGCGGGACACGCACCTGGGCAGCGGCGCTTCCTCCTCGGCGGCTCCGCGCCCTCCCGGCGCTGCGGCGGAGCCGGGGCGGCCCCGGTGCTGGTGCCGGTGCTGGTCCCGGTGCTGGTGCCGGTGCCGGTCCCGGTTCTGTCCCGGTCCGGTCCCGGTCCCGTCCGTGCCCCCGGAGCGCGCTGCCGCCGCCGGAGCGAGCACCGCCGCTACATTTGCATAACCCCGCCCATCCCGCCGGAAGATTTGCATACAGCAGCCGGGATGTTCTGCCATTGGTTAACGGCGGGTGTGTATTTGCATAGCCACGCCTCTGTGCGGGTTAGGGGCGGGGCGAAGGGAAGGGGCGGGGCCGGGGAGGTTTGGGGGGATTTCGGGGGGATTTGGGGACACTGGGATGGGGGTGGGCCGTGGGTGGGTTTGGGGAATGCGGGGCTGGAATTGGGGTGAGGATGAGGAGATTTGGGGCTGCGATGGGGGATTGGGACAAGGGTGAGTTCGGGGGAACTCGGGGCCCGGGGATGGGCGAAGTTCGGGGGTCCCGGGGGATGCTGAGCCCTCCCTGAGGGGTTCAGGCCGGGCTGAGCGGGAGGTTTTGGGGCGCAGTTCGTGGCAGATCCCACTGTGGTTTCAGGGGATCCCCCGGCACCGCCAGCCCCTTCAGCCGCAGGGTTTGGGGGTGTCACCCCCATGGTCCCCAATGTCACCGAGGGCTCAACGAAACCGCGGGGGAAGAAACGTCCCGAGCTCCAGACGGGGACACCCACGGCGCCCCCTCATTTTAATTGAATTTTATATTTTATAAACGCAGCCGCCTCTCCCTCCTCCCGTGCCAGCCCGTCCCCGTGTCACCAGCAGCGAGGCACCGGGGACACCGAGCGACACCTCCGTGCCACCTCCCGCGCTGCCATCCCTGTCGCTGTCCCTGTCCCCAGCCCGGGCAGGTGACAGAAGCCCAGGACAAGCCGCAGCAGGATGGTGCCCGTGGATCCCGCGGGTGCGGAGCTGTCCCAAAGCGACTTTGCAGGACAAAAGGGGACAGAGGCCGCTGGTGACAGAGGCAGGGGCAGCCCGGGGCCGAGGGCGGGGAATAATCGGAATTCCCGCTGGGAACCGCAGAGGGGCCGCGCTGAGGAGCCGCTTTCCTCCCGAGGGAGCAGAACCGGAGCTCGGGGGATGCTCTGACCCCAAAATCAGGGAATTCCCGTGCCGGGAAGGTGCCCGGCGCCCCCGGCGGGATTTTCCCGCGGGCCGGTCCCGGAGGAGCCCCGGGCCGCTCTCCGCCGCCCGCGGTATTTTTAGGGCGTGGGAACGGCGCGGGGGTCCCGGGGCCGGCCCGGGGTCCTTTCCCAGCCCGGCGGGACTGGGAACGCTCCGGGAGCTCCGGGGGATGCGGGACCGGGGAATCGCGGTGCCCCCGTCCCCGGTCACACCGGGGGCTCGGTCCCGGGCTTTTCCCAGCGCTGGGAACGGCGGGAGCGGCTCCGCGTCCGTCCGTCCGTCCGTCCTCAGTCCCAATCCCCGGTGCTGCCCCCTCCACCCCTCCCGCTGCACCGGGAGGTTCCCGGGGCCCCACCGGGGGCGGAACGGTCCCGGACCGGAGGCAGGACCGGCCCGCCCCGGTGCCCGTTCCCGGTTCCCATTCCCGGTTCCCATTCCCGGAGCGGCGGCACCGAGGAGTCGGGATCGGGACCGGGGCCGGAGAGGCTCGGGAGAGGCGGGGACGGGGATGGAGGGACCGGGAGAGGCGGGACTGGGACTCGAGGGGCTCGGGAGAAGCAGGACCGGGACCGGAGGGACCGGGAGAGGCGGGACCGGGGCCGGAGAGGCTCGGGAGAGGCGGGACCGGGACCGGAGGGGCTCGGGAGAGGCGGCTCGGACACCGGGAACCGGGGCTCCGGGGACCGGGGCTCGGGATAGACGGGACCGGGGCCGGTGGGACCGGGAGAGGCGGGACCGGGACCGGCGGGCCCGGGGATGCTCGGAGGGTCCGGGGGAACCGGGGCCGGATAAAAAAGCCGCTCCAAACTCCCACGGCGACAGCAGAAAAGTTGAAAACCTTTCAAAGGGATTTTGGTTTTTTTGGGAGGGGATTCTTTGGGGTTTTTTTTTCTCCTTTTTATTCTCGTCCTCATTAAAACCAAACCCAGGAATTCCTCGGCACCATCTGGGAATTTGGAGAATTCCTCAAAAAAAGCTTGGAGTGTGCTGATGTTCCAGCTTTTCACACAAAATTCCCAAAGCAAGACCTCATTTGGGTTGTTTTTTTTTTTTTTTTTTAGGAATAAAAAAGCCTGGAAAAAAAACTGGGAAGGTGAAACACAAACCATGGAAAAGAGGCCCAAAAAAGCAGGATTTGGGATTTTTCCAGCTCTTTTTTTTCCCCCTGGGAATTCAGGGGCTTCTCTACCTGTGCAGCCCCAGAGGTTTTTTTCCACTTCTTCCCAAGGTTGGGAAATTCAGGATGGAAAGTCAGGAAGTGCCTGGAGGATTCTTGGATTGGGGGGCGATGGTGCTGTGGAAAGAAAAAGGAAAAGTCACATGCAGCAGGCTGAAAATGTGGGAAATTTGGGGTTTCCTTAAAAAATTCCCTCTGCTGGTGGCTGTTTGGATAAGGGGCTGTCGCTGGGGTGTGCAGCCTGAAAAAATTCCAAACAGTTCCCCACTAGAAATCAAAATAAATCCCAAAAATCCCTCCAAAAAATTCCTCCATCATCATCCTGCTGCTAATTCCTCAGGAATTCTGCCCAAAAATTGGGATCAGAGCACCTCTCCCCAATCCCTGCATCCCTGAACTTCAAACCCTTCGGCTCTCCCCAAACAACCTCCCTAAAATTCCATTTATTCCCACTTTTCCCTCAGGGAAACGGGGGAAAAGCAGGGAATGCTGTCCTGGAGCATCCTGGAACTCCTTTTCCCGGGATTTTGGAACAGGAAAAGCAGGGAATGCTGCCCTGGCTCACTCCTTTCCCGGATTTTGGGGCAGGAAAAGCAGGGAATGCTGCCCTGGCTCACTCTGGAACTCTTTTCCTGGGATTTTGGGGCAGGAAAAGCAGGGAATGCTGCCCTGGCTCCCTCCTCTCCCAGATTTTGGGGCAGGAAAAGCAGGGAATGCTGCCCTGGCTCCCTCCTCTCCCAGGAAAAGCAGGGAATGCTGTCCTGGCTCCCTCCTTTCCCAGATTTTGGGGCAGGAAAGGCAGGGAATGCTGTCCTGGCTCACTCCTTTCCCAGATTTTGGGGCAGGAAAAGCAGGGAATGCTGCCCTGGCTCCCTCCTTTCCCGGATTTTGGGGCAGGAAAGGCAGGGAATGCTGCCCTGGCTCCCCCCTCTCCCAGATTTTGGGGCAGGAAAGGCAGGAAATGCTGTCCTGGCTCACTCCTTTCCCGGGATTTTGGAACAGGAAAAGCAGGGAATGCTGCCCTGGCTCACTCCTTTCCCGGATTTTGGGGCAGGAAAAGCAGGGAATGCTGCCCTGGCTCCCTCCTCTCCCAGGAAAAGCAGGGAATGCTGTCCTGGCTCCCTCCTTTCCCGGGATTTTGGGGCAGGAAAGGCAGGGAATGCTGCCCTGGCTCCCCCCTCTCCCGGATTTTGGGTACCTGCGGCCCTGGGCGCTGCCGAGCCGCTCCCGGAGGGCGATGGAATGCCGGAGCAGGCTGTCGATGCTCCTGAAGTACACGCTGCTGTCTGCCATGCTCTTGATGGCGCTGGAAAAGCGGGAGAAGAGCGAGAGGGACGGAGCTGGAATTCCCAGATTTTGGTTCTTCCCCTCCCTGATCCCAGGAAACCTCGGGCTGGAGGAGTTTTGTGCTGCGGGAAGGTGGGAAAACTTCCACAAAGTCCTGAAATTCCTGCGAGGTGTTCCCAAATCCCAGCTCTTCCCAATTCATTCCCGGGATTCTGTCGTGTTCTCCAGCCCAGAATTCCAGGAATTTCCCTTTCAAAGTGAAAAATCCCAAATCCCAACTCATTCCCTGGATTTTCCCACCCAAAATTCCAGGAATTTCACTCTCAAAGTGAAAATCCTAAATCCCAGCTCTTCCCAATTCATTCCCAGGATCCTGCTGTGTTTTCCAGCCCAACACTCCAGGAATTTCCCTTTCAAAGTGAAAATCCCAAATCCCAGCTCCTCCCATCCTCAATCCCTGGATCCTGCTGTGTTTTCCAGCCCAAAATTCCAGGAATTTCCCTCCCAAGGTGCAAATTCCAAATCCCAACTCATTCCCTGGATTTTCCAGCCCAGAATTCCAGGAATTTCATTCTCAAAGTGAAAATCCCAAATCCCAACTCATTCCCTGGATTTTCCCCCCCAAAATTCCAAGAATTCCCCTTTCAAAGTGAAAACCCCAAATTCCAACTCATTCCCTGGATCCTGCTGCGTTTTCCCGCCCGGAATTCCAGGAATTTCCCTCCCAAGGTGCAAATCCCAAACCCCAGCTCCCCCCAGCCCCATTCCCGGGTCCCTGCCGTGTTTCCCAGCCCGGAATTCCGGGAATTCCGGGATTCCCAGACCTGCAGGCGTACTCCACGGTGTAAATGGCTCCCTGGCTCTGCTCCTCCCAGCTCTGCATGTCCGACTGCGGGGGGAAAACTGGGATCAGGGGGGGTCCCCACGGGAATGGGCTCTGGGGAGGGAATTCCCGGCTGGAATGGGCTGGGAGGGAATTCCCAGAGCTGCCCCTGGGGCTCTGGAATGTCTGAGGGAAGAGGGAGAAGGGAAATTCCAGGGAAACCCTGGAGCTGCCTCCAGTCCCTAAAGGGGCTCCAGGAGAGCTGGAGAGGATTTGGGAGGAGGGACGGAGGGACAGGGAATGGATCTGGGATTTTGGGAATTCCAGGGCACAGGGAATGGGTTTGGGATGGGATTCCAGGATTCAGGGAATGGATTTGGGATGGGAATGGATTTGGGATGGAATTCCAGGACACAGGGAATGGATCTGGGATGGAATTCCAGAATTCAGGGAATGGATTTGGGATTTTGGGAATTCCAGGCACAGGGAATGGATTTGGGATTTTGGGAATTCGAGGGCACAGGGAACGGGTTTGGGATTTTGGGAATTCCAGGACTCAGGGAATGGATTTGGGATGGAATTCCAGGACTCAGGGAACAGCTTCACACCAGACAGGAGAGAATCGTGTGGGAATTTTTGGGGCAGGAATTCCTCCCTGGGAGAGGGGGACGGGGCTGGAATTCCAGGGAGGTGCTGGGTGGGATCATCCTCCAGCTCCTGGAATTCCTGGAATGTCGCTGCTGGACAGGAAAGGAGCACACAGAACCTTGGGGAGTTCAAAGGAGAAAAAACGAAGAGTTTTATTCAAAATCTGGGATTTATAGAATTCCAAAGGTGACCGTGGGTTGGAGGATGGAATCACCACCTCTCCAACCACACTGCTCCAAAAATCAACCTATCAATTCATCAATCAATCAATCAATCAATCAATCAATCAATCAATCAATCATTTCTCTCCACCCACAGAGAAACGTGCCAATATTCTATTTCTACGTGAAACTGTGTGGAAAATCTGACTCTTAAACATGATCAAAAAGCCGTAAAACTTGCAGAAGAAGCAGAAAAGGGGAGGTAGGACCCGGAATTCCCGGGATTCCCGGGATTCCCGGGATTCCCACCTTGTGCTGGGCCAGCTCGGGCAGGGAGCGGCGGACGTGCTCCTGCAGCCGGTACAGCGCCACCGAGGGCTCGTTGGCCAGCACGTACAGGCTCTCCGTGAACTTGTCCGTCACTGCCGGGGGAAAAACGGGAATTACCGGGGGGAAAGAGCTCATAAAAATCCATAAAAACGCCCAGGGAAATGTGCCCTGGGAATGGACAGGCTCGGCGGGAGCTTGTCCCTCACTACGGGGGAAAATGGGGATTAACGGGGGGAATATCTCCTGGAAATCCAGGGAAATATCCCCTAGAAATCCAGGGAAATACCTCCTGGAAATCCAGGGAAATAGCTCCTGGAAATCCAGGAAATATCTCCTGGAAATCCAGGGAAATATCCCCTAGAAATCCCGTTTTCCCTGTTCCATTCCCGTTTTTCCCGGTCCCGGTCCCGTTTTTCCCGTTCCATTCCCGTTTTTCCCGTTCCCGGTTTTCCCGTTCCCACTCCCGTTTTCCCCGTTCCATTCCCATTTTTCCTGGTCCCGGTCCCGTTTTTCCCGTTCCGTTCCCGTTTTTCCCGGTCCCGGTCCCGTTTTCCCCGTTCCATTCCCGTTTTTCCCGTTCCCGGTCCCGTTTTTCCCGCTCCGTTCCCGTTTTTCCCGCTCCGTTCCCGTTTTTCCCGGTCCCGGTCCCGTTTTTCCCGTTCCCGGTCCCGTTTTCCCGCTCCGTTCCCGTTTTTCCCGGTCCCGGTCCCGTTTTTCCCGATCCCGGTCCCGTTTTTCCCGCTCCGTTCCCGTTTTCCCCGTTCCATTCCCGTTTTTCCCGTTCCCGGTCCCGTTTTTCCCGCTCCGTTCCCGTTTTTCCCGTTCCGTTCCCGTTTTTCCCGGTCCCACCTTTCTTCACCTTCAGCTGCATCTCCGCTTCCTCCATCCCTCCCGCCGCCACTTCCGCTTCCGCCGGCGCCCCCCGAAACCTCCCCGGGCAGAGAAAACAGCCCCGGCTGGAAACGCGGCTGCGGCGTCGGCGTTCCGCTCCCCGCAAACCGGTAAACCGGTGCCCCCCCCCCCCCCCCGAGTCCCCGTTGTCACCGCGGGGACACTCGGTGCTCCCGGTTTGGGACACACGGGGACACTCGGTGGTTCCGGTTTGGCCGGGCCCGGCCGGGCCCGCTGCCCTCAGCGGGGTCTGGCGGTGTCGCAGCCTTTGCCCGCCCCGGTCCCCCCGGTGTCCCCCCGGTGTCCCCGCGGTGTCCCCCCGGTGTTCCCCCGGTGTTCCCCCGGTGTCCCGGGCCCGTCGCCCCCCGGCCGCCCTCACCGGAGGCGGGGCCGGGCCCCCCGCGGCCGCAGGAACGGGAAGTGAGCGGCGGGAGGGGCGGTGAGACCGGGACCGGGAACGGGACCGGGACCGGGAACGGGAACGGGAACGGGACCGGGAACGGATGGGGAACGGGAACGGGAACGGGACCGGGAACGGGAACGGATGGGGAACGGGTAGGGAACGGATAGAGATCGGGAACGGATCAGGACCGGGAACGGGAACGGGAACGGGACCGGGAACGGGAACGGGAACGGATGGGGAACGGGAGCGGATCGGGACCGGGGACAGGATGGGGAACGGGAACGGGATCTGAGGACGGGATCGGGATTGGGAACGGATCGGGAATGGGAATGGATCGGTACCGGGAACGGGAAAGGGATCGGGAACCGGGGACAGGATGGGGACCGGGAACGGGGGCGATCCCGGGAACGGGGATGGGGACGGGGATGGGAGCCCCGGGAACTGGGATGGGGAATCCCAGAATCCCAGAAATAGGATGGGGAGAATAAGGAACCCCAGGAATTGGGATGGGGAGCACAAAGGGGACCCCAGACCCCGCTGCAGCGTGGGGGTCTCAGGCCCTCGGGGTCTGTCCCCCCGTTTCCCCCCTCTCTCAGCTGAAGGAGCCGTCGGGGACCCCCCTGGAGCCCGGGACCCCCCGGAATCGGGTGGGAAAAGGTGGAAAAGAGCGAAGAGGCGGCATGGGGGACGCGGCGTGTCCCCAGCAGGACGGGGACCCGGCGCTCCCGGAGGCGGGGGACGGTGAGTTGGGAACGCCGGGACCCTCCTGGGAGCGGGGGGTTCCTGAGCCGGATGGGATCAGCCAGCCCAGGACACCCCAAAACCCCCCGGTGACCCCCAGGCCTCGGCTTGCAGGTGGAGCCGGGACCCCCCGGAATTCCTCGGTTGCTCCCGGGGACTCCCAGAGCCCCGGCGAGGCCCTGGACGGTGAGTGCGGCACAGAGGGAAAATCCCGGGATCTCCCATCCCAAAAATCCCGGCAAGGAGCCCCAAGCGTGGAAAATCCCATCCCAATCCCAATCCCAAAGTTTGGTGTCTGCTCCTGCCAGCCCTGAGAGGTCGCTGCAGCTCCACGCTGGAATTGGAGATGGGAATTCTCATTTCCCTTGGATTTTTCCCAATAAAACCTCGGATCAGCGGCTGGAAACGCTTTGGGATTCCCAAGTGGAGCCCGTCCAGGATGGGCAACAGGAGGATGGACCTGGGTGGTGTGGGTTTTAATAAATAGAAAATAAACCTGAAATTAATAGGGAATAAATAGATAAATAGAGAATGGATAAATATAAACCAGAAATTGATCAAGAGTAACCCCAAGTTAATTGAGAATAACCCCAAATTAATGGAGAATAACCCCAAGTTAATGGAGAATAACCCAAATTAACAGAGAATAATTCCAAATTAATGGAGAATAACCCCAAGTTAATGGAGAATAACCCCAAGTTAATGGAGAATAACCCCAAATTAAGTGAGAATAACCCCAAATAAAGTGAGAATAACCCAAATTAAGTGAGAATAACCCCGAACTAAGTGAGAATAACCTGCAGACCCTGTGTGCTGGCCCAGGTTTCCCCCTGAAGCATTCCAACACCCTGACCAACAGGCAGCGAGGCAACGAGGTGTCAGCGCTGCCGGCCACGCTGGACAGTGAGTGCCACCCGTGTCCCCAGGGACAGCAGGAGAGGGGCTGGGGCCACCCGTGGGGACAGGGGACAGCAGGGCAGGGGCTGGTGGCACCCCGGGATTTTGGGAGCAGCTCCCACCTGCCAAATTTTCATGGATTTATTTTTCCCTGCTGGATTTTGTCCCTTACAGCGCTGCCCAAGGGGACATGGGGACAGCAGGGGATGGGGTTGGGGGTCACCACTGGATTTTGGGGACAGCAGGAGAGGGGCTGGGGCCACCCCGGGATTTTGGGAGCAGCTGCCACCCCCCAGATTTGCAGGGAATTGTTTTTCCTGACGGATTTTGCCCCTTGCAGCGCTGTCCATCCACCAGCTGGCTGCCCAGGGGGAGCTCATCCAGCTGAAGGAGCACCTGAGGAAAGGTCAGTGTCCCTCTGGCCCTGCCAGGACCTGCCAGGTCCCCTCTGTGACCTCACACTCGGTTTTCACTCACTGCAATTGTGGGGTTTTTTTTGTTTGGTTGTGGTTTTTTTGGTTTTTTTTCTTTTGGTGGTGATTTCTTGGAAAAATCCTCAAAAATCACCAATTCCAAGCAGCCACAGCTGGCTGAGGTGGTCTGCCAGCCCTTACTGGTTGTACTGGTGGAACTGGGAGCACGGGGGGGCTGACCCGGCTCTGTCCCCGCCCCAGGTGAGAATTTGGTGAACAAACCCGACGAGAGGGGCTTCACCCCCCTGATCTGGGCCGCGGCCTTCGGGGAGATCGAGACCGTGCGGCACCTCCTGGAGTGGGTGAGGCCCGGGGGGCTCCCCGAGTGTCCCGGGGCTGTCCCGGGGCTGTCCCGGGTCTGTCCTGGGGCTGGGGTCTGTCCTGGGGCTGTCCTGGGTCTGTCCTGGGGCTGGGGTCTGTCCTGGGGCTGCCCTGGGGCTGGGGTCTGTCCCGGGGTCTGTCCTGGGGCTGGGGTCTGTCCTGGCTCTTTCCTGGGTCTGTCCTGGGTCCTGGGGTCTGTCCTGGGGCCTGGGGTCAGTCCCCAGGACAGTGTCACCCCTCTGTCCCTGCTGTCCCTGCTGTCCCCTGTCCCAGGGCAGTGTCACCCCCCTGTCCCCTGTCCCAGGACAGTGTCACCCCTCTGTCCCCGCTGTCCCCTGTCCCAGGGCAGTGTCACCCCTCTGTCCCCGCTGTCCCCTGTCCCAGGGCAGTGTCACCCCCCTGTCCCCTGTCCCCTGTCCCAGGGCAGTGTCACCCCCCTGTCCCCTGTCCCAGGCCAGTGTCACCCCCCTGTCCCCCCTGTCCCCTGTCCCAGGGCGCGGACCCCCACGCGCTGGCCAAGGAGCGGGAGAGCGCGCTGGCCCTGGCCAGCATGGGCGGCTACACCGACATCGTCACCCTGCTGCTGGACAGGGACGTGGACATCAACACCTACGACTGGGTGGGTGCCACTGCACCGGGGGACGGTGACGGGGGGACAGGGGGGACAGGGGGGATGGCAGGGACTGGGGGGACATCAGGACAAGTGTCCCCAGTGCTGCCAGCATGGCCGGGGACATCAGCCTGGAACTGGGACTGACTGGAAGGGGATCCCAGTCTGGAACTGGGAGAGGTTGGAAGGGGATCCCAGTGAGTCCCAGTCTGGAACTGGGAGAGGCTGGAAGGGGATCCCAGTCTGGAACTGGGAGGGGCTGTGAGTCCCAGTCTGGAACTGGGAGAGGCTGAAGGGGATCCCACTGAGATCCAGTCTGTAACTGGGAGGGGCTGAAGGGGATCCCAGTGAGTCCCAGTCTGTAACTGGGAGGGGCTGAAGGGGATCCCAGTGAGTCCCAGTCTGTAACTGGGAGGGGCTGAAGGGGTCCCCAGCGGGTCGGGAAGCCCCGGGGGACCCCCGGGAGCAGCAGGAGCGCAGGGCTGACCCTCGCCCGCCTGCCCCCCACAGAACGGGGGCACCCCCCTGCTCTACGCCGTGCGCGGGAACCACGTCAAGTGCGTCGAGGCTCTCCTGGGTAAGGGAAAACCCCGGCTCCGGGGGTCCCCGGGGGGACGAGGGGCGGATCCGGGGGTCCCCATTCCCCCTGGGCAGCTCTCGGGGTCCCCATTGCCCCTGGGCAGCTCTGGGGGTCCCCGTGCCCCCACAGCCCCCATTGCCCCCCAGCTTGCGGCGCTGACCTGACCGAGGAGGCGGATTCGGGGTACACCCCCATGGACCTGGCCGTGGCCCTGGGACACAAGAAAGGCAAGCGTCCCCCTCCAGAAAATGGGGTTTGGCCTCAGAAAAATGGGATTTTCCCCCTCGGAAAAATGGGATTTTCCCCCTCAGAAAAATGGGATTTTCCCTCAGAAATTGGGTATTTCCCTCAGAAAACTGGGGGTTTCCCTCAGGAAGCAGGGATTTTGCCTCAGAAAACATGTGTTTCCCTCAGAAAACTGGGATTTTTCCCTCGGAAAACGATGGCCAGCTCCTTCCCAGAGCAGCTTCCCTGACCTCCGCTCTCCTCCCTCAGTCCAGCAGGTGATCGAGAACCACATCCTGAAGCTGTTCCGGAACAAGAAGAAGAAGAAATGAGGCGGCAGCTCCAGACACAGAGAAATCCAGGAATTTCTGCTTTAATGGATCCCGGCCTCCCCACGGCCGCCGCGCACAAAATCCAGGGACGCTCCTTCCAGCCCTGGCTGGGCTCAGCTGCCCCGTGTTTGCCGTCAGAAGTAAAATCTAATTGCAATTAAACTCCGTGGAGCCCTGTCTGCTGCCTCAGCCCATCCTAACCCCGGGTTTTGGGCAGCCACGAGTCAAAATTTCCCCTCAGCACTGTGGAATTCCTGCCCAGAGCTGTCCCTTCACAAAGGGAATCTCCCATAGAGCTGGAAAATCCTGCAGGATTCTGGCAGGTGGGAATGAGTCAAAATTTCCCCTCAGCATTGTGGAATTCCTGCCCAGACCTGTCCCTTCAGAAAGGGAATCTCCCATAAAGCTGGAAAATCCTGCAGGATTCTGGTGCTGCCATCCCAAGCAGCTCAGGAGGTGACAGCACAGGGAGGGGACACTTCTCCTCTGCCCCAAGCCAAACCCCCGAGGGCTCATTCCAGGAAAAAAGCAGGAATGCCTTTTATTGATCCCATTCCACACGTCCCCCGTGGGGGTTTCCAGAGCCCCCGAGGTGGGGACAGCCCCGGGGTCCCCCCTAGAGCCTCTCCCCCAGCACCCCCAGGTGATAAACCACCACCCTCCCGAAGAAATCCGTGCTGCTCCCAAAGGTGATCTTCAGCTTGTCCAGCACCGTCTCCTCCACCTGGAACCTCTGCAGCTCCTGGTCAAGGAGCAGCGCTGGGATTGGCATGGGGGGTCACACCCCCAGCTCTGCTCGGCAGCAAAATCCCAAAAAAATCCCCAAATTCCCCCTTCCCCCCCCTTCCATCCCAGGAAAGGATATCTGCATGGCGTGGCTGTCCTGCGGGTACAGCTCCGAGATTTTCACCAGCTCCTCTCCTGTTCTGCAGCCTGGGGAGGGCGAGGGGGGAGCCTCAGGTGCTGCAGGAGCCTCCCAAAATCTTCCCACCGGCACCCAGAGGCTCCCAGCCCCTCTTTATTCACCCACGGAGCTGCTCCAGGTGCTGTCCCAAAATCTTCCCTGGCACCCAGAGGCTCCCAACCCCTCCTTATTCATCCTCAGAACCTCTCCAGGTGCTCCCAGGTGCTGTCCCAAAATCTTCCCTGGCACCCAAAGGCTCCCAGCCCCTCTTTATTCACCCTCAGAGCCTCTCCAGGTGCTGTCCCAAAATCTTCCCTGTCCCAGCCCCTCTTTATTCACCCTCGGAGCCTCTCCAGGTGCCCCTGGGGCCCTCCTGGGCTTTGGGACTGGCTGACAAATCGCCCCGAGCCCCCCTTTATCCCCCCCAGGATGCGGGTGTGGGTAAACTGAGGCAGGGCCCGCCCTGGCAGCGCCCCTCTCTCACCTTCCAGCGTGCACAGCCGGCTGGAGAATCCCCCCTGGAACTGGATGTGGAGCTGCGAGACCCTGACCGGGCTGGGGAAGTCCAGGGTGACCCACTGGGCTGTGCCCTGGAGGGGACAGCGGTGTCACAGGGCGGGCACAGGGTGGGCAGGGGGTCCCCATGGGGGGCACAGGGCGGGCAGGGGATCCCCGCTGTGGCACAGGGGGCACAGGGCGGGCAGGGGGTCCCCGCGCTGTCCCCGCGCTGTCCCCACACCTGGCCCGAGTTCCAGCAGGTCTCCTCGCTGCCATCGAACAGGTTCTGCTTCCCGAAGTGCTTCACGTCCCGGTTCAGCACGGAGCTCACCCTGCGGGGACAGCGGGGACAGTGCCGGGGACAGCGGGGACAGTGGGGACAGTGGGGACGGGCAGAGGGGCCGGGACTCACCGCGTGGCCGTGCGGGCACACACCAGGGACTCCAGGGGCATCGCTGCCTGCAGACAGGGGACATGGTGGGGACAGCCCAACAGGGCTGGGGACAACCTAAACAGGGCTGGGGACACCCCAAACGGGGCTGGAGACACCCCAAACGGGGCTGGGGACACCCAAAACAGGGCTGGGGACACCCGAAGCAGCACTGGGGACCCTCGGACAGTACTGGGGACCCTCTGAGCAGCACTGGGGACATTCTGAGCAGTACTGGGGACACCGGGGCAGGATTGGGGACACCGGGGCAGGAACGGAGACCCTCGGATCGCGCTGGGGACCCTCGGACACCCCCGGGCGCCCCCGGACACCGCTGGGGACCCGGGCGACACCCGGCCAGCAGCGGGGACCCCTGGGGGCTCCTCCCCGGTCCCCTCCCGGTCCCGCCGGGGCCGCCCCGCACTCACCGCCCGCCGCAGGAAGAGGCGGAGCCGCCGCCGCGCTCCCGGTGTCCGGTGCCGCCCTCGGCACCGCGGGGACTCCGCCGCGGGAGCTCCGGGTGCCCCCGCGCCACCCGCGACCCCTCCGTGTCCCCCGGCCCAGCCCCGCCGCCCCCTCCCACCGTGTTCGCCCCCTGCGAACGCCTCACCCGGTACCGGTGTCCGGTACCGCCCCCCGATACAGCCCCCGGTACCGCCCCTGGTACCGCCCCCCGGTACCGCCCCCCGATACCGCCCCCCGGTACCGCCCCCCGATACCGCCCCCCGGTACCGCCCCCCGATACAGCCCCCCGGTACCGCCCCTCGATACCGCCCCCCAGTACCGCCCCCCGGTACTGCCTCCCGGAACCCCCCCCGGTACCGCCCCCCGATACAGCCCCCCGGTACCGCCCCCCGGTATCGCCTCCCGATACCGGACACCGGTACCGTCCCCCGGTACCGCCCCCCGGTACTGCCTCCCGGTACCGTCCCCCGGTACCGGCCCCCGGTACCGCCCCCCGGTACCGGCCCCCGGTACCGGCCCCCGGTACCGCCCCCCGGTACCGGACCCCGGTACTGCCTCCCGGTACCACCCCCCGGTTCCACCCCCCGGTACCGGCCCCCAGTTCCGGCCCCCGGTACCGGCCCCCTGCCCATCCCTGCCCATCCCTGCCCATCCCTGCCCATCCCCACATCCCTGCCCGCCGCAGCCCGCGGCTCCGCAGCCCCGCAGAGCTCCCGGTACCGGCTGAGTCACGGCGGCCGCGCCGAGGCCGCCTCAGCTCCGTCACCGGCGAAAATAAACCCGGCGAGAGCTGCGGAGCCGCCGCCGCCTCCTCGTCCCCCTCCTCGTTTCCCTCCTCGTCCCCGTCCCCGTTCCCATCCTCGTCCTCATCTCCGTCCCCGTCCTCGCACCGCCCCGGGGCTCGGCCCCGCACACACATGTCACACACATGTCACACGCCTGTGTGCACACCCGCGGGGACACGCGACACAGCAGCACACGCGTGACCGGCTCTGCCTTCCTCCTCCTCCTCCTCCTCCTCCCTCCCCTCCTTCCCCCCGTCGAGTTTCGCCCGAGAAATTGGGTCAAAAACCGCAGGAGCCTCATTTGCCCCTGGGCTAATTGCGCGGCTGGGGACAGAGCCGCCACTTCTGCCACCGCCGTGCGTGTCACCGGCCTGCCGGCAGCGTCCCCCCCTCGTCCCGGTGAGCCCCGGCCCCCAGCGCTGCGGAACCGGGGGGATCCCGGTGCTCACTGGGAACGGGGGGGATCCCGGTGTTCATTGGGAACCGGGGGGATCCCGGTGCTCACTGGGAACGGGGGGGATCCCGGTGCCCACTGGGAACCGGGGGGATCCCGGTGCTCACTGGGAACCGGGGGGATCCCGGTGCTCACTGGGAACCGGGGGGATCCCGGTGACCCCTGACCCCTCTGATCGCTGGGAACCGGGGGATCCCGGTGCTCACTGAGAACCGGGAGGATTCCGGTGCCCATTGGGAACCGGGAGGATCCCGGTGACCCCTGACCCCTCGGCTCACTGAGAACCGGGAGGATTCCGGTGCCCATTAGGAACCGGGGGGATCCCGGTGCTCATTGGGAACCGGGGGGATCCCGGTGACCCCTGACCCCTCTGATCCCGGTCACCCCTGACCCTCCAGGGCTGTGGAACCGGGAGGCAGCGCCCCAGCCCCGGCACCTCCCTCGCCGTCGAGGAACGCGGCGCTGCCGCCGCCGGGGCCATACCGGGAGCGGCTCCGCCGGGCCCGGGGAGGCCTTTCCGTGGGCCCGGTGCCTTTTGTGGGCCCCGCCGCGCGTCCCCGGCCGGCGCTCCCGGAGGAAGAGCGGCTGTGGTGCCCTTCGCCATTGATCCCCGGTGCCGATTGATCGATTTCCGCTTCCCTGCAGAGCCCCGGGGGTGCCGCGGGGCTTTGGGAAGGGTTTGGCAGCGCCGATGTCCTTTGTCATTCACGCCAAGTGACAATGCGGTGGCACCTGGGCGCTGGGAAGGGGCCGGGCAGGGTGGCCGCGGGAGCACCCCCTGGAAGGCGATGGGTAAATGAGAAAATGATATTAATTGATTATAAGGCTGGTTTTAAGGTACAAACTGGCGTTCAGCCCCCGGGGGTGAGGGCAGCGGGGTTGCTGCAGTGTCCCCAGCAGTGTCCCCAGCAGTGTCCCCAGCAGTGTCACCACTCGTGTCGCCGCGGCGTGAGCAGGTGCGAGGGCGGCGTGCGCCGTTAATGAGCTCGGCTTGCTCGGTGTCCCCGCGCGACAATTAGCACCCCGGCTAATGAGCCTGCCGGCCCTGCTGCTGATCGTGCCGGAGTCAGAGCGGGGCTGGCCGGGCCCGCTGTCCCCCGTGTCCCGAGCCAGCCCAAATCAGCCCGGCTCACCCAAAACCAGCACGGCGGGGGGCTGCTGGCGTCCCCACCGCGAGGGTCGCCGAGGAGGTGCCCGTGTCCCTTCCCGTGTCCCCTCCCGTGCCCCTTTCCCGTGTCCCCCCGTGTCCCCCCGTGTCCCCCCGTGTCCCCCCGTGTCCCCCCGTGTCCCGGGTGCCCGAGGGGCGGGAGCGGCTCGGGCCGGCGGAAGGGGGAAGGGCCGGCGGCAGCTGCCATGGAAACCGCGGATAAAATAATCGATGTTCGCCGCCGGTGGGCTCGGGGGGAGCCGGGCCTGGCCAGGGCAGCACCGCCGCGTCCCGGGGGGGCGTGGAGCCCCTTCTGGGCCCTCCCAGCCGTGCCCCGGGGACAGGGACAGCGCGGAGGAGGTGCCACCCTTGCGGCCTCCCCCTGCCCCTCCTCGGCCCGGCGGGGCTGTCCCGCCCCGCTCCAGCCCGGCAGCTCCGCCAGGACGGGCAGAGCCGCCCTCCGGCCCAGCCGCGGCTCCTGCTGTCCGTCCGTCCGTCCGTCCGTCCCCGGCCCCGGGCGCCGGCCCCAGCTGCGGCCCCGTTAATGAGCGGCAGCGCTGATGAATGTGGCAGCTCTCCCGGAACGGCTTCATTAGCCGCCGGCGGAGCTGAGCGGAATAACAAACGGCTCCGTGGGTCCCCCCGAGCGCCCCGCGGCCGTGCGGGGACACCGGGCGGCTCCGGGGCCCCTCTGTGCCCGGCGGGGCTCCGCGACACCGCGGGGTCCCCTCACAGCCCGGGCTGCAGCGGCTCGGGGGGCTCCCGGCCTCGCCCCCCGCCCAGTCCGGCTCTGCCCGGTGGGGGACGGGGGTGGCACCACAGACCCGACCCCACCGTGTCCCCACCGTGTCCCCATCGTGTCCCCACCGTGTCCCCACGCGCGGGTGGCCGTGCCACCCCTCTGTTGTGATGGCAGCAGGAGCTGGCTGAGACCTGCCGCACTCATGTCACCTGGCTGCTGGCCCCTCGCTGTCCCCCGGGGGCTGGGGACAACCCGGGGCGCTGCAGGAGCAGCGGGGACCCCCAGCCCCAGGCGGGAGCCGCAGCGGGTCCCCGCGGGGGTGGCGGGTCGCTGCCCCTCGCAGCGGGAGCCCCTCGGCGCTGTCACCGCACCCCGGTCCCTGTCACAACAAAGGAAAACATCTCCGGCTGGAAACTGCGGGAGGGTCGTCACGGCAACCCTGCTGCAGGATTGCACCGGAATCCCGCCGCTCGGCCTCAGAAACACGCGCAGCGCCCGCGCAGCCGCCGCCGCCGCCGCTGCTGCCGGGGCCGGGCCCGGGGAGCGGCACCGGGGGCTCCCGGGGGGGCCGGGGCTGTGGGGACACGGTGGCAGCAGCTTCGGCCTCGTGGGAGCAGCTCGGGGCTGGGGGGTGGGGGAACCCCACCCTGGGCGCGGGGCCGGGCTCGGGGGGCGGTGGGACCCCACGAAGTCCCCCCGGCGGAGGAGCTGGTCCCCAGCGCGCCCCTGAGGAGGGGGAGCGGCGGCGGTGGCACCCCCAGGCCCCGGCTGCTGTGACATTCACCCACTCGAGACCAGAGCTCGGCTCAGCCGCCGCCAGCACCTTCCACGGCCCCCGAAGGGCCGGTGACACATCCCCGGTGCTCCGCGGGGCTCGGTGTGTCCCCCTCCCTCACCTTTAGTCCCCGAGAGGCCCCGGGGCCCTTCCGAGGGCCGGGCCGGGCTGTGAGCAGCTGCGCTGGGGTTTTTGGGGACGGAGGGGCCCGTGGGAGCTGCTGGGCCCACCCGACATCCCCACGGGGGGAACCCAGCCGGTCCCGGATCCCCGCACGCTGCGGGTTCCCGGGTGAGACTGAGGAAGACGAGGGGCAGGAGGAAGGATTTGGGGCTGCAGGTGCCCCACCCCGCGGAGCGCTCCTGGCCCATCCTCTCCTCCCAACAGCCCCAAAGCACCCCGGGGTGCCCTCCCCAAATCTCCTTCCAACAGCCCAAAAGCACCCCGGGGTGCCCTCCGCAGAGAGCCGCGGGGTGCCGGGATCCTCCGGAGCGGGCGGGAGCCGCGATGCCAAAGCCCCCGGGACCCTCTCCCGAATGCCCCTCGGCAAAGGCCGCGGGGACGGTGCCCCCCGTCCCTGTGCCCCGCGGGCACTCCCCGGGCCGGGCCCGCAGCTGCAGCCGCATAAAGGAGGGGAACAGAGGAGCTCTGTGCGCCGGCAGCGCCGGGGCCGTGCCGGGCCGGGGGGGGCTCACAAAAGGCAGGAAACGCCACCGAAAGTCTGGCACAATGGGGTCGGAAATGAGAACTTTGCTCTCGGGTTTCCGCGGATCCATCCTAGGGGCGAAATAGGGAGGGGGGATCCTCTTTCTTTGGTGCCAAGTCGCGGCAGACAGGCTGGCATTCTTCAGTCACCGGCGGGAAGGTGACCCCCTCACCCCCTCCCCCAAAAACCCCTCCAACAGCTCAGTGAGGGTTTTCTTCCCCCTTTCTGGGGGTCGTTTCTGGTAGCGCAGCTCTTCGGAGATTCTCACCCATTTTTGGGGGGGTTTGGGGCTTTTGGAAGCCTTTATCCACCCACAGCATCTTCCAGCCCCCCGCCCCCCGTTCCGGCCCCATGTCGGGGTGTGGGGGGCTGGGGCTGCGCCCTGAATGGCTTCAAGGGAATTTTGGGGTGTGGAGGGGCTGGACGATGTTTCCCCTTTTTGGAAACACCCCAGAAAAATCCCGCTGGGCCCCCCCCCTCTTCCTGCTTCCGTTACAGCGACCCCCCCACATCCCCTTGGGGACCCCACCCCCATCACAGCCCCCCTCTTACACGGACCCCCCGTCTCTGTCCGCGCCCTCTTAGAGACCCCCCCTCATTTCAGGGCCCCCCCAGCCCTTCCCCGCAGCGCGGGCTGCGAGAGGCGGCCCCGCTCGATGGGGAGGGGGCGGCCCCGCTTTTGGGGGGGTTGGCCCGGGTTTTGGGGGGGGGAGCGGCGCATGCGCGGCCGCCCCTCGCCCTGCGCCGGGCAGCGGGAGCGGGCGCGGGTTCTCCGCCGCTGCGGGCAGGTGCGGGCGGCGGCACCGGCGGCACCGGCGGGGGGGGCCCGCGCCCGCCGCCAGCCGCGATTGGCCCGGCCCGGCCCGGCTCGGCCCCCTCCGGGGGGGGCCCGGCCCGCTGCCCCCCTCTCCGAGCCCTGCTTTAAGCCCCCGGTGCCGGCGGGAGTGCTCGGCTCTACCGGAGGCGATGAGTCCCGGCGCGCCCTGAGCACGGAGCAGGTACGTGCGGCACCGGCACCGGCACCGGCACCGGCACCGGCACCGGCACCGGCACCGGCACCGCCCCCGCTGCGGGCCGGCCGTGGCCGTGGCGACACCGGCAGGAGCGGGACGGATCCGCGCCGGGCGCGCCGAGGGTGCGGGGCCCGGTGGCGGGGATGGGGACGGTGACAGCGGCGGTGACATCGGCACCGGCAGCGGCACGGCGGGACCCGGGCCGGATCCGGGCTGGCGGCGCGGCGGGGCTGCGGGGGCTGCGGGAATGCGGGGCCCGGTGGCGGCGGTGGGGACGGTGACACCGGTACCGGCGCTGCTGCGGGGACGGGGATGGGGGCGGCGACACCGGCAGCGACACCGGCAGCGACAGCGGCGCCGCCGCGGCAGGAGCGGGGTGGATCCGAGCTGGGGAATGCGGGGGCGGGGGGCCCGCGGGTCCCGGCGGCGGTGGCGGGGATGGGGACGGTGACACCGGCGCGGCTGTGGCGGCACCGGGAGGGATCCGGGCGGGGGACGGGGGACGCTCGGTGTGGGGGGACACTGCGGGGCCGGGGAGGGAGGGGGACACCGAGGGGACACCGAGGGGACAGGGAGCTGTCAGGGGTGGGCGTGCAGGGCCTGGGGACAGCAGGGCCGGGGGGGACACTGCGGGGACCGGGGGCACCGGGACAGCTGGACAGCGGGGGCGTGGTGGGGACACCGGGACACCGCGGGGACCGGAGCTCTGGGGCCGGGGGCGCTGAGGCCGCGGGGCAGACGCGGCTGGGGACAGGCGACACGGTGGCCTGAGTCCCCCAGGAGCGGGCAGCGAGCCCGAGGGCGAGCAGAGGTGGCGAGGGGTGGCAGCACACGGTGCCACCAGGGTGTCACAGCCGGCCGCGCCTGGGCCGCCCAGGTCCTTGCTGGTGGCAGTGGTGGCTCCTGGCGAATTCCCGGGAATGTCGCTGTCCCGGGGTGGCGGGGACACGGCCAGGATGTCCCCGGCGCGGGGACACGGCTGGAGAAGCCGGGACGGACGGGCGGGTGCGGGTGCGGATAGGGCGAGGGGCTGGGCAGCCCCGGAATCGGCGGGGCAGCGGTGCCAGCGGCCCGGATCGGTGCCAGCGGCGCGGATCCGTGCCAGGCCCGGCGGCCCGGGGCTCTCCTCCCGGTTGTGTCACCGGGCGCGGTGGCGGGATCACCCCCAGCGTGCGGCCGGGCACCGGCAGGGCTGGCGATGGAGCCGAGGGCTCGAGCGGGGCTGCGGCGGCTCCGGGGCTCCCGCGGCGCTCGGCGAGAGGCAGGAAGCGGGGCAGAAAGAAGAAATAAATTTTTTAAAAATTAAAAAAAAAAAAAAAAAAAGGAGCAAATTCTAAACGAAAGGCTGCAGACTGTCTGCCTAATGAAAATCGCAGCGGCAAAGGGCCGGGGCCGGCCGGGATCGCAGCTCGCCGAGGTGCTAATTTATTCCGCAGGCTGGGGGAGCGGGAGCAGCGCTGCCTGCGAGCTGTGACGGCAGCGAGCTGTGCACAATTCCACAATTCCTTTGTTGTGGGCAGGAGGAGCGGAGCCGAGCCCGCCCCGCGCCGGCTCCCGCCGCGGCCGCGCAGCCCCGGGCAGCCCCGGAGGAGCCCCGGTCCCCGCGGGAGGGAGGTGGGTGCGGGGGGCAGAGGGGCCCGGGGGGGCGAGGGGCTGGGGCTGGGGGTGCGGGGGCAGCCCCCGGAGCGGGGGACACGCCGCGGGGGTGGGCACCGGGATGTCGCCTGTGCCTCGGTGGCACCGCGGGCCGGGGTGACCCGGAGGTCGTGGGGGCCGCGGTGGGCGTGGGCACAGCCGGTGGCACCCCCGGGGCTGGGGTGGCCCCGGGGAGGGGACACCGATGTCCGGCGGCATCCGGGCTGCCCGGGTGGGTGGGCAGCGCCGCCGCTGTCCTGCCACCCGTCCCGCGTCCCCAAATGTGTCCCAAATGTCCCAAATGTCCCAAATGTCCCAAATGTCCCAGATGTCCCCTCTGCTCCGTGCGGGCCCCGCCCCCGGCCCCGCCCGGGCTCGGGGCAGGTTTTGGGGCACAGGTGACCCCCGAGCTGACCGGGTGGTCCCGGCGGCCTGGGTGGAATTAAGCTCCGTTTCAGCTCAAGCTAATCACCAGCCCCGGCTTTGCATATTCATGAGCAGGATGAATTATTCATGAGGTGACAGCTAGTGACAGATGTGAAAATGCTCGCCCGGCTTGGGGGGGGATTTGGGGGGGCGTTTTGCGTTATTTTAAATTTCGCTCGTCTGCCGTTCCCCCGGCTGGGCCGGGACGCCGGGGGGGGACAGGGACACGCTCCGTGTCCCCGAGGGGACCGAGCCCCGCGGCCTCGGGGACGTCCCGGTGGCACCGTCCTGACCCCGGGAGAAGCTTTTTGCTGGCTCAGCGCCTCGCCGGGCGCGGAGAGGGGCTGGGGCAGGAGCGGGGACAGGAGCGGAGCCACCGGAGTGTCCCCTGCTGCTGGCTGTCCCGGTGTCCCCGTCCCACCACGATGTCCCCAGCGGTGCCCGGACCAAGGGCCCGGCGCTGTTGCTTTGTCCCGGGAGAGCTCCTGGACACCCCAGAAAGTCAAAATCAACATTTCAGTGGGAGGAGCCGGGATGGGTCTGGGGGGGCACTGGTGATGGTGGTGATGGGCACAGGGCGATGGTGGTGGGCACTGGTGATGGTGGTGGTGAACACTGGGTGACGGTGGCACTCCCTGGGTGACGGTGACAGTCTCTGGGTGACGGTGACAGTCTCTGGGTGACGGTGGCAGTCTCTGGATGATGATGGCACTCCATGGGTGACGGTGGCAGTCCCCGGGCGATGGTGGCAGCCCCTGGGTGACGGTGGCAGTCCCTGAGCAATGGTGGCAGTCTCTGGGTGACAGTGGCAGTCCCTGGATGACGGTGGCAGTCTCTGGGTGACGGTGACAGTCTCTGGGTGACGGTGGCAGTCCCCAGGTGACAGTGGCAGTCCCCGGGCGATGGTGGCAGCCCGCGTGTCCTTGCAGGGCAAGGATGGTCCCTGTGATGGGGGATGCCGCCTGCTGGGTCCTGCTCGGGCTCTCCCTCCTGCCCATCGCCGCCCTGGGTAAGTGCTGGCCGGTCGGGCTAATTAGAGGCGAGCGGCGATCACTAATGAGTTCTGGGCCGGGGTAAATCCTGACGGGCACCAAAACCCGGGCCGGGCTTGGGCTGCGGGCGGGATTAGCGGGGGAGAAGCCCCCGGGCGGCCGTGCCCCCTCCCCCCGCGCGGGGATCGCTGCAGGCGCCACCTTAAACCCTTAATCCCCCTCCCCACGGCCCAGCGCAGCCCCCCGGGGATTTGCCGTGGCTCGGAGCCGCGACCCCCCCGTCCCCCCAGCACGGGGGGCTCTGGGATCGCCCCGTGCCCCAGTGAGCGAGGGAGGAAGGCCCGGGGGGATTAGCGGCTGTCCCCGGCCCCCCCGGCCCCTGACCCCACTGGGGGGTCCACGGGGGTCCGAGACGCGGGGGATTTGCGCTGGGAGTCTGCCCAGGCTGGGGGGATTAGTGCGGGAGGAGGAGGAGGAGGAGGAGGAGGAGGAGGAGAGGTCACGCTCCTGCCACGCTTTATCCCAGCACGGGGGTGGCTTTTCCGACGGTGCCACCAGGGTCAAGCGGCGTCCTGGGCGAGGGATCCCCCCCGCGGACAGGGCCAGGGGGTGCCGGTGTCCCCTGGGAGCCGTGTGGCACCCACGGGTGCAGAGCAGTGGCCACAGCCTGGGGACATCCCGGGGGGGCCGGGCAGCGTCCCGGGGGAGGCGCGGACCCCGTCCGGGCTGGGGGTTCAGCCCCGGGTCGGGCTGCAGCCCCCCGCCTCATCCCGCTCCACCCTCGCGGCTCCTGCTCCTCCCGGGGTGTCGGGGGCAGCCCCCCACTCCCTGCAGTGCCCCCCACCCTCCCCGCTGTCCCCGAGCCCCCCGTGGCAGCCGGGCCGCTGTCCCCGCAGGCTCGCAGGACGAGGGGAAGGTGATCCGCATCAGCAGGGTGCAGCGGCAGGCGGTGCGCGTGGGGCTGGGGGAGCCCGCGGCCCTGCCCTGCCTCTTCCTCCTGCGCTCCTCATCCTCGCCGGGGCCCAGCGAGCCCCCGGAGCCGCCGCGCATCAAATGGAGCAAGGTGCGCTCGGCCGGCGGCCGGCGGGAGGACTCGCCCGTGCTGGTGGCCAAGGAGGGCGCGGTGAAGGTGGCCCACGCCTACGAGGGCCGCGCGTGGCTGCCGGGCTACGGCCGTGACCGCGGGAACGCCACGCTGCGGCTGCGGGCGGCCCGCGCCAGCGACGCGGGGCTCTACCGCTGCCAGGTGGTGGCGGGCATCGACGACGAGCAGGACCTGCTGCCGCTGGAGGTGACGGGTGAGCCGGGCACGGCCGGGCCATGGCCGGGGGGGCGCCTGGGGAGGGTCCCTGCAGCCCCTGGGGCCGAGGGAGGGGCGGTGAGATGGGCACCAGGGTGGGCTGGGCACCCCAGGAGAACTGGGCACCCCATAAAAGGCATCACCCCCCCCATGAGAGCTGTGCACCCCATTTGTTCCCTGCACCCCATAAGAGCTGTGCACCCCATAGAAGCCGTGGCCCCCCCATGAGAGCTCCGCACCCCATTTGGTCCCTGCACCCCAGGAGAGCTTTGTACCCCATTTGTTCCCTGCACCCCACAGGATCTCCACACCCCATCTAGCCTGTGCCCCCCATGTACCCCCTGCACCCCAAACAAGCCGTGTCCCAAGCGCCCCATGGCAGTTCTGTGCCCCATGAGCCCTAAACATTGTGCCAGCCCCGCACCCCGTGCCAATCCTGCATCCCCTGCACCCCGTGTCCGCAGGCGTGGTGTTCCACTACCGGCCCGCGGGCCGCCGCTACGCGCTCAGCTTCGCCGCCGCCCGCCGCGCCTGTCGCGACAGCTCCGCCGTCATCGCCTCCCCCCAGCACCTCCAGGCCGCCTTCGAGGACGGCTACGACAACTGCGACGCGGGCTGGCTCAGCGACCAGAGCGTGCGGTGAGTGCGCGGGGCCACGCGGGCCACGCCGGGCCACCCCTGGGCCACCCCCGGGCACCTCCGGGCCACCCCCGGGCACCTCCGGGCCACGCCGGGCCACCCCCGGGCACCTCCGGCCACCCCCCGGGCACCTCCGGGCCACGCCGGGCCACCCCCGGGCACCTCCGGGCCACCTCCGGGCACCTCTGGCCACCCCCGGGCCACGCCGAGCCACCCCCGGGCCGCCCCCGGGCACCCCGGGCGCCGCTGCCCGCGGAGCCCCGCGCCCACCGTGCTCCCCCGGCAGGTACCCCATCACGCTGTCCCGGCCCGGCTGCTACGGAGACCGCGACCGCCTCCCCGGCGTGCGCAGCTACGGCCGCAGGGACTCCGCCGAGCTCTACGACGTCTACTGCTACTCCCGGGAGCTGCGAGGCAAGGGCTGCGCCCCGCGACCGGTGCCCAGGGTGTGTCTGTGCCCACGGCATGGCCAGCAGCACAGATCGGTGCCCAGGGTGTCTGTGTGCCCACGGCATGGCCAGCAGCACGGCTGGGTGCCCAGGGTGTCTCTGTGCCCACGGCATGGCCAGCAGCACGGCTGGGTGCCCAGGGTGTCCTTCCCTGGCCATGGTGTGCCTGGGTGCCCACCATGTCCCTCCGTGATTGTGACATGGCTGCGTGCCCACGTTTGTCCATCCCTGGTCACAGTGCGGCTGGCTGGGTGCCCAGGAGTGTCCCTCCATGGCTGGGTTCCCATGATGTCCCCCCCTGGCTGTGACATGTCTGGGTGCCCACGGTGTCCCCCCCTGGCTGTGACATGTCTGGGTGCCCCCCATGTCCCTCCCTGGCTGTGACATGTCTGGGTGTCCCCCATGTCCCCCCCTGGCTGTGACATGTGTGGGTGCCCCCCGTGTCCCTCCCCGGCCACATCTCCGCGCATCCCTGTCCAGCCGCGCTCCGGGCGGGTTCCAGCGCTCCGTGCCCCCCTTGGCACGGCCGCAGCGCTCGGTACCCCCCAAACTCGCCCTCCCTTCCCGCGGCCGTGCCCCCAAGGCTCCGCTCTCCGCAGGGACCGTGTTCCACGCCTCGGGGCCGGGCCGCTTCACCTGGCAGGGCGCCCGGCGGCACTGCCGGAGCCGCGGGGCCGCGCTGGCCACCGCGGGCCAGCTGCACCTGGCGTGGCGAGCGGGGCTGGACCGCTGCGACCCGGGCTGGCTGGCGGACGGCAGCGTGCGCTACCCCATCCGCCAGCCCCGCAGCAAGTGCGGCGGAGAGGCCCCGGGCGTGCGGACCCTCTACCAGTTCCCCAACCGCACCGGCTTCCCCCCCGCCGCCTCCAGATTCGACGCCTACTGCTACAAAGGTGAGGGGGACCCGCCGAGACCCCCCCCTGCCCCGCCGCTCCCGCCTTCCCTCGGTGGGCACGGCCGGGAAAATTGCTGCGGATGAATATTTAATTGGGGAATTAATGAGATAAATGAGGGCATGCGGCGCTGGGAGGGAGCTCGGCTCCGGCTGCTGCGGGGAGGGGGATGCGGGGCTCCGTGCCGGCGCTCGAGGGGGGCTACGGGACCCCCCTCGGGTGACCTCGGTGCCGCCGCTGATGCCCGTGGTGTCCCCACAGCGGCGGGGCCCGGGGACACGGAGCAGCCGGTGTCGCCGGTGCCACCCACGCCCGACCCGCCGGGCAGCGACAACGCGCTGGTGGAGCACGGCGAGGACCCGGGCACATCGGGGGACACCCGCGACATCCCCCGCGACAGCTACGACCCCCTGCCGCCGCCGGGGCCCGCGGGGCTGGGCGGGGATGAGGACGAGCAGCTGCGGCCGGCCAGCGGCAGCCCGGTGGCACGGCGCGGTGACCTCCCGGGCACCGCCCTGGCACCGGCACCGGCGGCTGCAGGGCTGGGCACGGGCGCCGCGACATCCCCGGTGCCCACCGTGACATCCCCGGCACCCACCGCAACATCCCCGGCACCCACCGCGACATCCCCGGTGCCCACCGGGACATCCCCGCTGCCCACCGGGACATCCCCGATGCCCACCGCAACATCCCCGGTGCCCACCGGGACATCCCCGGTGCCCACCGGGACATCCCCGCCGCCCACCGTGACATCCCCGCCGCCCTCCGGGCCCGCCTCGCTGGCGTGGCCCCGCGAGGAGGAGTCTCTCAACCTGGTGGACCCGGAGAGCTCCCGGCGGGACCCTCCCAGCGCCAGCCCGGCCCGAGGGGACCCTGCGGGACCCCCGGCCACCCTCCGGTCACATCCCCAAGGCCCAGCCCTGGAGCTCAGCACCGGCTCGTCCCTGTCACCGCCCGGGCCGGGGACGGTCCCCAGCGCGGCCCCGGAGAGCCCCGGCACCCCCGCGGGCAGCTCCGGCGCCCCGAGGAGGAGCTACCCCGGCCTCAACGGGCGCCACTTCGCGTTCCAGCGGCACAGCCGGGACCCCGCGGCCGCAGCCGGGGACACCGCGGTGACAGCGGCCATTGTCACCCGGGCCCCCGTGCGGGCGCAGGAGGTGGAGGGAGGCGCAGCCAACGCCGTGGAGCTGTGGAGCCCTCCCCGAGCCGGCAGCCCCCGGCGGAAGGGTCCCCACGCGTCCCCCAACGCGCTGGAGGAGGACGCCGGCCCCGGTGAGTGACACCGGACACAGCCGCGGCTCCCGGTGCCGTCGCCCCTCGGTGACCCCGTGGCGGTGCCGTCTCTTGCAGAGCTCGAGGCCCCGGCCACCGCCCCGGTGTCCCTCCCGCCGGCCCCGAGGGATTCGGGGACCCCCGCGGGGACCCCGCCCGTGCCGTCCCCGTCCCCCGCCACTCCCCGCGACGCTCGGGACCACCGGGACCCCCCCGCGGGTGGGGCTCAGCCCCGCGTCCCCGGAGCCCGCGGGGACTCCCCGAGGCCGCCCGCGGATATCCCCGAGGAGTTCTCCGGGTTCGCCGCGTCCCAGGAGGGCTCCGTGCCGCCGCTGCCCCCGCTGCCCCCGGCCCCGCTGGTGGCTGAGGGTCCCGAGCTGGCCCCGCAGCCCCGCGGGGACGGCAGCGACGGCAGCGGGGCCCCGGGGGACGGCGCGCTGGAGAGGCAGAGGAAGGCGGTGCCATTCCTGCAGCCGGACGGTCCCTCCGAGGGACGCCCCGCCACCCCCGGGCTCGCCGAGGGGGCTCCTCCCGGGCCCCGGGCCCGCTCCGGCCCCGCGGCTCCGCACGGCGCGGCCGAGCCCGGCAGCGAAGCAGCCGCGTCCCCCCCGGCCTGGGGCGTCCCCTCAGCGCCCCCTTCCCCCGCGGCCACCGAGGCGCTGCTGTGGGCCGGCACCGAGCGGCCGGAGGCGCTGGCGGGGCTGGAGCCGGTGGCCGAGGAGGGGTCCGCAGGCTTCGCCCCCCCAGACCCACAGCCCAGCCAGCGCTCCGAGCCGGGGCCGGGGCCGGCCGAGCAGCTCCTCCTGTCCCCCCCGGACCCCCGGCAGCCCCCCGCCACCCCCGGCCCCCCGGCTGTCCCCGGAGACGAGGAGGACGCCTCCGGGGAGGCCGGGCGGGAGGAGCCCCCCACGCCCCTCGGCTCGGCCGCCCGCGGGCCTTGGCCGTCCCCCAGTGCCCCCCAGCCCGGGGGGACAGAGCCCGCCGGGTCCCCGAGCGCGGGGCTGCTCCCGGAGCCCTCCGCCGAGCCGGGGGGCGCGGGGGGGGCCCCGCTGCCGGATGCCGACAGCGGCAGCGGGGAGGAACCGGCGCTGGACGAGCGGGAGCTGCTGGCCTGGGCGGGCACCGGCAGCGCCGGCGGGCACGGTGAGCCGCGGGCACGGTGAGCCGCGGGCACCGGGGCTGGAGGCCGCGGGGACAGCGGGAGGTTCTGAGGCGGAGGTTTGGGCGGTGTCGCTCCTTTTATCCCGATTTCCCCGCTGGGACGGGAGCGGGGGTGGCACCGCGCCCCCCCAGCCCGGCTCAGGGCTCCGCTGCCGCCCCCAGCGCCGCCGGACCCGTGCCGGAGTAACCCGTGCCTGCACGGCGGGACGAGCCGTGCCAACGGCACCGTCTGCGGCTGCAGCTGCGCCCCGGGCTTCACCGGCGAGAACTGCGAGATCGGTGAGGGCCCGGGCTCCGCCGGGCGGGGGTGGCACCGCGGCTCCGAGCCCCGGGGCGCGGCGGAGGCGGCGGGCGGGGTCGCCGCGCCCGCAGCTCCCGGTGTCCCCGCAGACATCGACGACTGCCTGTCCAGCCCGTGCCGGAACGGCGGCACCTGCATCGACGAGGTCAATTCCTTCGTGTGCCTCTGCCTGCCCAGCTACGGCGGCAGCCGCTGCGAGAAAGGTGGGCACGGCCCCGGTGCCCCCCGGCCCGGCCCCGCGGCTCTGGGGCCGCGAGGGGACCCGGATCCTCGCCGTGCCGCCACTGTCGCCGCGTCCCCGCAGACACGGAGGGCTGTGACCACAACTGGCACAAGTTCCAGGGCCACTGCTACCGCTACTTCTCCCGCCGGCGCTCCTGGGAGGACGCGGAGCGCGACTGCCGCCGCCGGGCCGGGCACCTCACCAGCATCCACTCGCAGGAGGAGCACGCCTTCATCAACGGTGGGCCGGGGGTCCCGCTTCCCCCTCCCCGGGCGCCGCTCGCCTCCTCCGTGCGAGCCGCGGGTGCCTCTCCCCGCAGGCTTCGGCCACGAGAACACCTGGATCGGCCTCAACGACCGCATCGTGGAGCAGGACTTCCAGTGGACCGACAACACCGGCTTGGTGAGGCCTCGGGGGGCTCGGGGGGCTCGGGCTGCGGGAGGGGGTGCGGAGGGTGTCACCCGCCCCGGTGGCCCCGCAGCAATACGAGAACTGGCGGGAGAACCAACCCGACAACTTCTTCGCGGGCGGCGAGGACTGCGTGGTGCTCGTGTCCCACGAGATCGGCAAGTGGAACGACGTGCCCTGCAACTACAACCTGCCCTACATCTGCAAGAAAGGCACAGGTAGCGCCCGCCCGGCCTGCCCAGCCTGGCACGGCCCCATCCCGCGGCCCCCGGCGTCCTGTCCCCATCCCGCAGTCCCCGGTGTCCCTGTCCCCATCCCGCAGGTCCCGGTGTCCCCATCCCGCAGGTCCCGGTGTCCCCATCCCGCAGTCCCCGGTGTCCTGTCCCCATCCCGCAGTCCCGGTGTCCCCATCCTGCAGTCCCCATCCCCGGCCAACCTTTCCCAGCCCTTCTCCCAGGCGAACTCCACCAATTCCCCCCTAAATCTCCATTTTTCCTCTTTCCCCGCCATCAGTCCCTCCCTCAGCCCTCGGATTTGTTTAATTCGCTCCCATTAAACCCATTAAATTCCCATTCCTTACCTCGGGAAGTTCCGCTTACCTCCAGCTGCTCCTCCCCACGCCGCGCGCTAATGACGCCCCAGTCAGGCCGTTAATTAACCAATTAAACCCTGAGGACAGTTCCCTCTCCCAAAGCCACCAGCGGTGTCCCCAGGGATGGGCGGGGGAGCTCCAGGGCGGCCCGGACCCTGTCCCTTGTCCCCTCCCAGTAACTCCCAGTACCTCCCAGTACCTCCCAGTACCTCCCAGTGCCAGGGGGGTGACGGAGCTCCGTGCCCCCCTCCCAGTGCTGTGCGGGCCCCCCCCCGGAGGTGCCGAACGCTTTCCCGGTGGGGAAGAAGAGGGAGAAGTACAACATCCACTCCAGCGTGCGCTACCAGTGCCGCGAGGGCTTCACGCAGCGCCACGTCCCCACCATCAAGTGCCACAGCAGCGGCAAGTGGGACCGACCCAAAATCCTCTGCACAAAACGTTAGTGGGGCACTCGGGGGGCGGGAGGGGGGCCGGAGCCCGCAGCTGACCCCCCACGCGTGCCCCGCCTTGCCCCCCGTTAGCCCGGCGGTCGCACCGAGCGCGGCGGCACCGGCGGCACCGGCACAGCCACCCGCACCACCAGCACCGCCGCCACCAGCCCCGCAAGGAGCGGCGGAAACACCGCCAGCGCCTCCGGCTGGACTGGATGGAGGAGGGCCACTACTTCTAGGGCCGGCCGAGCACAAAGGGGTCCCCGGGGGACGTGGCGGCGTCCCCCGCCCCTGTCCCACCCCCTCCGCGCCCCCCTTTTTTAGCCCCCTTTGGCTTTAGCTCCTGAGGATGCCCGGCCCCGTAGGGAATAGGATCCGGAGGGGGCGGCTGCGTGTGCGCCCCCAGCCCTCCCCGCATGCCCCACGCCCAGCCCCGGCCCGCGTGGGAGCCCCCCAAGCTGGGCTCTGTCCCTGTCCCCAACCCGGGGGTGGAGCAGGCAGCCCCCGCCCCGTCCTGCCCCGTCCCACCTGGGGCGGCTCTGGTTTTTTAGCAGCCCCCCACCCCATTTCCCTGCCCCAGCACCCCGGGGTGTCCCCGCGGCCGGCACGGGCGGGGCGGGGGGGACACGGCGGCCGCGGGGCCCCCGTCCCGCTCCGCGCCTGCTCTGGGGGTGCTCGGTTCGGTTCGGTTCCGTCCCCCTCCGCTCGTTTCGGGTCCCCGTCGGAGTTGGTGTGTGCGTGTGTGTGTGTGTGTGTGTGTGTGTGTGTGTGTGTGTGTGTCGGCGCTTTCCGATCTCTGCTGTTTGCGACGTGACTGCCGCGCCCCCACCCCCTCCCCGACCCCTCCTGCCGCCCCCTCCCCATTTCTGACTCCGCCTTTCTGTACTGCTGGACATTTTAATAAATTTTTTTAACGGTTGAGCGACGCCCGCCCTTTCCTGGGGGCCCTGGGACGTGTCCCCTGCCCGGCTGGCGCCGCTCCCCAGCTGCCTCCTCCCACCGCACCCCAAAAATTCCGAGCAGCCCCAAACTCTCCCCCGGGGCTCCCCGTGCCGCATCCGCCGCCCGCCAGCCGTGGTGGCCGCCGCGGGTGTCCCTGCCGCCCGCCAGCGAGATGGGGAGAGCCGATGGGTTTTTTGGGGTGATTCCTGCCTGAAACATCCCCCACCACCCGCCGCCGAGGTTCCCCCGTCACCCAACGCCCGCTGTCCCCTCGCAGGGCTGTGACATCCCGGCGATATTAATTTCCCGGCATGAAAAGTGATTTACGGGCTGTGCTCAGCTGGAGCCCGCCCCGAGCCCCCTCCGAGCCCGGGGGTCCCCACGCGTGTCGTGCCAGCTCGGTGGCACCGCGGGTGGCTCCGCCGCGGCCGCTCCTCGGATCCAGCCCCGATAAATCCGCGGTGGGACGGCCCCGAGCCCCCCCGGCTGCCCCAGGGACACGGCGGAGCCGCGCTCAGCTCTCCAAAGCGGCCGAAGCTTTTATTTCATCTACGTCCAGGGCTGCCAAAGCCTGCGGCCGGTGCCCGGCCCGGTGGGCGCGGCGGCCGCCGCCCCCCGGCCCCTCCCGGCCCCGGCCAAGCCAAGCAGGAGCTGCCCCGGGGGGCTGCGGGACCCCCCGGCTGCCGCGGCCCGAAGCCAAACCCGCCGCCCCCGCTCCCTGCCCAGCGCTGTGAGGGGATTTGGGGGGCCCGGCGGCACCTCCCGGGGGGTCAGCGCGGGGCCGGGTGAGGATGAGGAGGATGAGGAGGGCGGGGGCTCCGCGGCCCTTTAGCGCATGCAACAGGCGCGTCTGGAAGCGAGAGCTGCGGGGAGCGGGGAGCCAGCCCCGGCTCGGGGTGCGGGCTCCCGGCCGGGCTCCCCAAACCCGTCCCCTCCCGCTGCCCCGCCGTCCCCCAACGCCACCGAGGGCCGCCACCGAGCCCGCTCCGCCGCCGCCGCTCCGTCCCTCGGCGGGGCCGCCCGCAGCTCCCGCCCAGCGCGGGGCTCGGGGCGCGGGGGGACCCCCGGCCGGACCCACCGGAGCTCCCCACATTCACACGCGTTTGGGGAGCCCCGCGGCCGCCGCGGGCGGGGCCGGCCCGGCCTTTTGGAAGCAGTAGACGCCGAAGAGTTTGTACTTCTTGTCGGGGAAGCCGAGGTTGCGCACGCCGGGCTCGCGGCCGCCGCAGCGGGCGCGGGGGTTGACGATGGGGTAGCGGATGCTGCCGTCCGCCAGCCAGCCCGCCTCGCAGCGGTCCAGCAGCTGGATCTTCCAGGCCGCGTACAGCTGCCCCACCTTGGCCACCGCCGCGCCGTTCTTCTCGCACGCCTGCACCGCCTCCGGGTAGCTCAGCTTGCGGAAAGTCTTCAGGAAATAAACCTTGCCTGGAAGCGGGGAAAGGAGCGCGGTGAAGGGGATGGAGCGCCCTCAGTCCTGCGGGGCAGTGGGAGGGGTGAGGACAGCGCTCTGCGGCACCCCGAGGGGTTTTTTGGGGATGGAGGCGATGGATGGAAGCGCTGTGGAGCCCCTCAAAAGGATTTGGGGAGGTCGGAGAAGTCGAGGGGTATCAGCGCTGTGGAGCGGCCAGCACGATTTCGGGGGCTGGAGGTGAGTGGTGCCCTGTGGAGCATCCAAAACGGTTCCTTAAAGAAAAGAGTTTTTCGCTTAAAAAAAAAAGAGAAAAGTTTTTGGATGAAAAAAGAAAAAAGTTTTGGATGAAGAAAGACCAGATTTTGGCTACAATAAATAGGCTTTGGGTTAAAAAAAAAGGTTTTGGCCAAGAAAGGTTTTGTATAACAACAAAAAAAGTGGGTTTGGATTAAGAAACGGGTTTCAGCTAAAAAGAAGGGGGTTTGCGTTAAAAAAGAGGTTTTGAATTAAAAAAGGGTTTGGATTTAAAAAAATAGGTTTTGGCTAAAAGCAAGAGGTTTTGGATTAAAAAAAAAGAGGTTTTGGATAAGAAAGGTTTTGGATTTAAAAAGAATAGATTTCGGCTAAAAACAAGAGGGTTCGGGTTAACAAAAGAGGTGTTGGCTAAAAAATAAGAGGGTTTGGCTACTGAAAAAAAAAGAGAGTTGGCCTAAAACCCCCCTTTTTGGCTAAACCTCGGCGTTCCAACCCCAGCAGCACCCCATCCCACCGCCAGCACCCCCGAGCAGCGCCCCGCCCGCCGTGCCTCAGTTTCCCCGCACCGTTGAGGTTGGAGGTGAAGCAGAAGGCGTCGTAGCGCTCGCTCTCCTTGTGGCGGTAGCCGTAGCTGCGGACGCCCACGGGCGTGTCCTTGCGGCCGCAGCGCTCGCGGGGCCGGGCGATGGGATATTGCACGGAGCCGTCCTGCAGCCAGCCCGCGTTGCACCAGTCCAGCCCCTCCAGCCAGGCCTGGTGCAGCTGCTCGTGCGAGGCCAGGATCCCGTCCTGCTGCAGGCACGCCTGCTGCGCCTCGCGGAAATTCAGCGTGTAGCGGCCCAGCCGCGGGTGGTACGGGAAGATCACGCCTGGAAGGGCAGAGTGGGGTTGTTTGGGGGCGCTGGGGTCGGTCAGGGGTTCTGGAGGATGGCGGGGGGATTTCTGCCCGGGAGAATCAGCTGGGGAATCCCGCTCAGCGTCCCTGGGCAAGGAGGTTTGGGGGTTCCGGGAGGTTTCGGGGTTCCGGGAGGTTTGGGAGTTCCAAGAGGTTTGGGAGTTCCAGGTTTTGGGAGTTCTGGGAGGTTTGGGAGTTCCAGGAGGTTTGGGAGTTCCAAGAGGTTTGGGAGTTCCAGGTTTTGGGAGTTCTGGGAGGTTTGGGAGTTCCAGGTTTTGGGAGTTCCAAGAGGTTTGGGAGTTCCAGGTTTTGGGAGTTCGGGAGGTTTGGGAGTTCGGGAGGTTTGGGAGTTCCAGGAGGTTTGGGAGTTCCAGGAGGTTTGGGGGTTCCAGGTTTTGGGACTGCAGGGAACCCCGAACTCCAGCAGATTCTGCTCTGGGATTTGGGAGCAGCTGTGGTGCCCTCACGGGGTCCAGCCGAGCCCTGCCACCCCCAAACTGTTCCCTCCAAGCTCCCCAAAACACGGTTTCCCCTTTCCTACCCACAAAATGCGCCTCTGAACCCCTAAAAAAAGTTTTTCCCCTTTCCCAACATCCCGGAGCTGCCACAGCCCCGTCCCCGGTGCTTTCTGAACCCGTGCCACCCCCGGACTGCACCCTCCGAACCCCTAAAAAAGCGTTTTCCCTCCTCTGCCACCTCCTGAACCCCTAAAAAAGCGTTTTCCCTCCTCTGCCACCTCCCGAACCCCTAAAAAAGCGTTTTCCCCCTCTGCCACCTCCTGAACCCCTAAAAAAGCGTTTCCCACCCCCGCCACCACCTGAACCCCTAAAAAAGCGTTTCCCCCCCTGCACACCCCGTCCCCGCCGCTGTCCCCTCGCCACCCTGACCCCACAAGGCGCCACCACCACAACCCCACCACAGCCCCGCACCCCCGGGCCGGGCGGGTCCCGGGTGTAGCACCCCGGGAGCATCCCCGGGCACCTTCGAGGTCCAGCTTGACCACGCCGGTGTCGTCCTCCAGCTCGTTGGTCACCTCGCACTCGTAGCGGCCGTAGTCCTGCAGGGTGACGTTGCGGATGATGAGGGACGCGTCCCCCGCGCCGTCCTCCTGCAGCGCCGTGCGGCCCCGGTAGGGCCCGAACGCCCGGCGGGCCTTGCCCAGAGCCACGAACACGTCCACGAAGTCCATGGGCTCGGTCACTTTGGTCCACTTGAGGCGGATCTCGGCCGGGTCGTGCGCGGACACGTCGTAGTGGTAGCGGCAGGGCAGGATGATGGTGCCGCCGCGGTGGGTCACCACCTTGCCCGGCGCCGTCTGCACCACCACGGCCCCGCTGTCCCCCTCTGCGGGACGGACACCGCGTCACGGAGCGCCGCCGCCGCCACCGGGACTGCCCCGCGGGACGGGGCACAGCGGGGCGGGAGCGGAGAGCCGCTGTGAGGGGCAGGGGAGGGTGGGGATGTGGGATGGCCACACTTGGAGGGATTCCTCTATTTTGGGGGCAAATGAGGATGGGGGTGTGGGGGATGGCCACACTTTGGGGGAATTCCTCTCTTTTGGGGGCAAAGTAGGATGGGGATGTGAGAGCATCTTTTGGGTTGAATTCCCCTTTTTATGGAGTAAAGGAGGATGGGGATGTGGGGGATGGTCACACTTTGGGGGAATTCCTCTTTCCTGGGGGTGAAGTAGGATCTGGATATGAGAGTATCTTTGGGGTTGAATTCCCTTTTTATGGGGTAAAGGAGGATGGGGATGTGGGGTCACACTTTGGGGGGAATTCCCCGATTTTAGGGGCAAAGCAGGACGGGGTTGTGCGGGCACGCTTTGGGTGCAATTCCCCTTTTTTGAGGTATTTTGCAAACCCCAAGGAGAGCTCGGGATAACCCCAGGACGGTTCCCAGGGGACAGGGGGGACACGGGGGACGCATCGGAGTCCCGGCCGCGATTTTGCCGGGCGTTAAACCCAACTTCCCCCGGTCCCAAAGCCCCCCCGAGCCCCCCGCCGGTCCCGGCCGAGCCCGGCCCCACTCACCCATCACATGAACCACCTTCTTCCTGCCGCGGGCCCCGGGCAGCGCCTCGGGGGCGGCCAGGGCGGCGAGGAGCAGCAGCGCCGCGGGGGCAGCGGCCCAGGGGCTTTGGGGGCGCATCTGGGGGGGACAGCAGCGCCCTGAGCACCCCCAAACGCCCCGCCCGAGGGGAGCCCCCGCTCTGCCCAGCCCCCGGGTGCCCGCAGCCGCTGTCACCCACCCCGTGCCCGGGCGGGGGTCGGGCAGCGCTGCCCCGCTCCGATCGCCCCCCAAGCCCCGCGGGACCCCCGGCCCGGCTCGGAGCTCGGCGCGCCCCGGGGCTTCCAGGAGGGATGAATATTCCCCGGCAGCCGCAGCGGGCCGGATCGCTCGAGTTATTTTTGGCACCTCTGGGAACGGAACCGGCGGGCACGGGGCGGGCAGCGGCGCCCCCGGGACCCCCGACCCGCGCCCCGGCCAAGGACAGCGCGGAGGGGGAGCGGGAGGCGCCTCCCCCCACTCGGGGGCTGCGAGGCTGAGCCCCGCTCTTGGGGCGCCCCAAACGCCGGCCCGGCTCTGGGTCTGCCCCCCCAGATGGGGACGGGGGGTCCCGGTGCCCGGTCGGGGGGCAGGAGGAGGGACAGCCCCTCCCGGTGCTCCCGGTGCCGCTCCGGGGGCAAAGGGAGCGGGCCGGCGCTGCCCCGGGGCTCGGGCTCCGCTCGAGAGGCACAAAATGCGGGGCAGCCCCCCCGGTGGTCCCGGTGCCCGATCCGGGGGCTGGGGGAGAGGGTCAACCCCCCCGGTGGTCCCGGTGCCAGGCGGGCAGGGCAGCCCCGGTGCCCGGTCCGCGGGCGGATGGAGCGGGGCACCCCCCACGGGGGTCCCGGTGCCCGGCGGGGGCAGGGGGAGTGAGAACCCCCCCGGGCATCCCGGTGGCCGCCGCGGGGGCGGGAGGAGCGGGGCAGCCCCGCGGGGGTCCCGGTGCCGGTCGGGGCAGCGGCTGCGGCGGTGGCGGTGGCGGAGCTCGGGCCCGGTGCGGTGTTGCAGTGCGGGACACTGCGGCGGCAGCCCCGGGGCTGCGGGACTCCGGTGCCCGGGCGAGGACAGCGCAGCGCGGGGGGAGCCCCGCTCCTGCCGCCGCCGCCGCCCCGCAGCGAGAGACCCTCGTCCGCCGCGCCCCTCCCGGTCCCGGGGGTCGCGTCCCGGGGCCCCGCGCCCGCCCCGCAGCGACGGAGCGGCGGCCGCAGCCCCGCACTCACCGTGTGCCCGGTGCGGCCCGCGGGAGGGGCCCGCCGGTGCCTCCGCCGGTGCCTCCTCCGGTACCTCCGCCGGTGCCGCCGCTGCGGTTCCGCACAGGGGGCGACACCGGGAGCTCGGCCCGGCCCTGCCCCGGTGCCGGTGCTGCGCAGGACCGGCTGCTCGCCAAGGTCACCGGCCCGCCCGGTGCGCCCCGGAGCGCCCCGGCACTGCCGGGACCCCCGTGCCGGGAGCACGCGGGGAACCGGCTCCGGTAAATCCGCACCGCGGGCACCGCAAGGGCGGCCGCGCCCACCCAGCCCCGGCCCGGGCACCCACCCGGCGGGCGCCACCCCAAAACCGCCGGTACCACCTCCCGCCGTGTGCCCACCCCCCAAAATCTCAGCCCGCCCACCCGCGGGGGCAGCCCCGGTGTCCCCGGGCGGCGCGGGGGGACCGGCTGGGCACGGCGGGCACACGGGCACGGCAGGCACACGGGCTCGGAGCGAACCGGGGCTCCTTTATTTTGTCACCGGCGTCCCCCCGGCGCTGCCGTCACCCCCGAGCCCGCCCAGCCCGGGCTGGGGCACCGGGACGGGACCGGGACCGCCGGGGAGGGACCGCGGCTGCTCCGGTCTGGGCTGGGACCGCAGCGACGTCCCCGCCGAGCGTCCCCGCGGCCTCGGGGGCACCGGAGCATCCCCGGGGACACCTCCGGGGACACCCCCGGGGACACCTCCAGGGACACCCCTGGTCCCGGTGCTCGGAGCGGGCTGAGAGGCACCGGGTGGGATCCCCCGGGATGGGGACAGCAGCCCCGGGATGAGGACAGCAGCCCCGGGATGGGGACAGCAGCCCCGGGGGATGACAGCAGCCCCGGGGAGGTGACAGCAGCCCCGGGATGGGGACAGCAGCCCCGGGGAGGTGACAGCAGCCCCGGGATGGGGACAGCAGCCCCGGGAGGGGACACCAGGACCCCTCAGTGGTGTTTTTTGGCGGCGGCGGAGGGCCGCAGGAAGAAGGCCGGGGAGCGCAGGCAGCGCAGCGCCAGGAGCTGCGGGCCCAGCGCGTAGAGCGCGTTGGAGAGAAGGAACGTCCCGAGCGCCTCCTCGGGGGTCCGGTACGGGAACGGCGTGCGGGGGTGCAGCGAGGAGCCCAGGTGGGCGAACTGGGCCTGCGGACAGCGGCACGGCCCGGGGCGTGACCGGGGAGCGGCCCCAGGAGGTGCGAACCCCCCGCCCCAAAAGGTGCGAACCCCCCGCCCCAAAAGGTGCGAACCCCCGGCCCCAAAGGGTGCAAAGCCCCGGGCCCAAAGGGTGCAAAGTCCCCGCCCCAAAGGTACAAAACCCCGGCCCTAAAATGTGCAAAAACCCCGACCCCAAAGGATTCAGACCCTCGGACCTAAAATGTGCAAACCCCGGCCCTAAGAGGTGCAAGGTCCCAACCTCAGGGGGGTTTCGGCTCCAGCCCATCCTATCTATAGCCCTGCATCTCTCTCCATCCTATTTCTAATCCCGGGTTCTGTCCAAATCCACCGAGGCCAAGGCAATTATCAGCCAGCCCAGCTGCTCTACTTGCAACTGCAGCTGTGGCTCTGCCCCCCAAACCCGGGATCTGCCCCCCAAACCCGGGATCTGCCCCCCAAACCCGGGAACTGCCCCCCAGATCCCGGGATTTTGGGGCTGCCTGGTTAGGGATTTCCCCCCAAATGCCGGGATTTGGGGCCCACCTGCGCCACGCCGCCGGCGACCAGCAGGCTCCAGTCGGGCAGCCAGGAGCAGCCGGGCCGGGCCAGGCCGTAGGCGGCGAGGAGGAGGAAGGGCAGCAGGTAGAACAGGTAGATCAGCATCTGGGGGACACCCGGGCTGTCACCCCGCTGCTCTGGGACACCCGGGCTGTCACCCCCGCTGTGCCCCCCTCACCTGCACCTTGGGGTAGCCCACGGGGTCGCGCAGGTAGGGCTCCTGCAGGTAGGTGTAGTCAAAGCAGGAATCGGCCGGGCAGTCCAGGACCACCTGGGGGGGACAGGTGGGCAGGGGAGCCTCCCTGGGACCCCCAGAAACCCTCCCCGGCACCCCAAAACCCTCCCCGGGACACCCGAGACCCTCCCTGGGACACCCGAGACCCTCCAGGACACCCAAAACCCTCCCTGGGACCCCTGAAATCCTCCCCGGGACCTTCAAGACGCTCCAAGACAACTCCAAGACCCCCCAGACCCTCGAGGGCCACCCCGAGACCCCCAGGACCATCTCGAGACCCCTCCAGGACCCCCGAAAGCCCCGCCAAGAGCCCCCGAGCGCAGTCAGGATCACCCCCAGCCCCCCCAGGACCCCCCCGGCCGCCCCCAGCCCCCCCAGGACCCCCCAGCCCTCACCAGCCCCCTGAAGAAGGTGAAGGCAGCGGTGAGGATGAGGATGAGGATGAGGAGCAGGTCCTGGGGCCGGCGGTAGAGGGGTTTGCGCTGCTCCTCTGCAATCTGCGAGAGGAAATTGGGGGTTTTTGGGGTCCGCACGCTCCGCCCCGGCCCCTGGGAGCGCAGCAGCCCCCCAAAAGCCCCGCTCCGGCCTCACCTGCTCGGGGCTGAGGCTCGGCAGCGCCCGGGGCTGCTGGAAGAGCCGGGGGCCGGTCCAGGCGAGGAGGAGGAGGTAGGGCAGGTTGAAGAGGAAGGACGGGCTCAGCTCGGGGCTGTATTTCCCTGCGGGAGAGAGCGCGGGGTGGGCACGGAGCCTTCCTCCCCCTCCTCCTCCTCCTCCTGGCGGGGGGATGGAGGGCCGGGCCCGGCCGCAGCCCCCTCCCCACGGCCGTACCGATCAGGCTGCCCAGCAGGAAAACCACGGCGCTCATCAGCAGCGAGCCCAGCCAGAAGAGCCCCAGCCCCCGGCAGCTCTTCCTGCGGGGACAGCGGGAGCCCCCTCCTCAAAATGCGGGATTTTCCAAGTGAGCCCTGAGCCCCCTCCTCAAAATCATTCGGGATTTTCCAACCCCCCCTTCACCCGGGATCACCCCTGAGCCTGCTCCTCAAAATTATTCGGGACATTCCAACCGCCCCCGAGATCACCCCTGAGCCCCTCCTCAAAATCATTCGGGATTTCCCAGCCCCCCCCCCCCCCCCCAGAAAATTGGGGATTCTCCCGCGCCCCCTCCCCAGGAATTCCGGGATTTTCCAACCCCCTCCCCAGGAATTCCGGGATTTCCCAGCCCCTCCCCAGGAATTCCGGGATTTTCCAACCCCCTCCCCAGGAATTCCGGGATTTCCCAGCCCCCTCCCCAGGAATTCCGGGGTTCTCCCGCGCCCCCCGCGCACCTGCGCCCCGCGGCCCCGGCCATGGCCAGCCCCAGCCCGCCGTGCACGGCGCCGTCCCAGTAGCAGGTGAGGAGCCCGTGAGCCGTGCGCAGGTGGGGATCGCCCTGCGGGGACACCGGGAGGGCACCGGGCTCACACCGGGACCGGGGGCACCGGGCTCACACCGGGGCCGGGCACACCCGGTCCCACCGGGGCTCGGGGGTGCGGAGCCCCGGGGCCGCGCGGGGCAGGGCCGGCACCTCCCGCACGTAGAGCTCCGCGATGCCCGAGATGATCCCGTCCTCCTCCAGCGCGATCAGCAAATCCACCAACGACACGGCGGAGAACAGCACGAACACTGCGGGGAGCGGGGGGGCTCAGTGCGGGGTCCCAGAATCCCAAATCCCCCATTCCTGCTCCGTGCGGGGTCCCCAAAATCCCAAATCCCACATTCCTGCTCCGTGCGGGGTCCCCAAAATCCCAAATCCCACATTCCTGCTCTGTGTGGGTCCCGATTCCCCTCAAATCTCAAATCCCTGCTCTGTGTGGGTCCCACAGCTCCTCCCACATCCCAAATCCCAAATCCCACAGCCCCAGATCTCCCCAGACCCCAAGCCCAGGCCGGGGCTCACCGCAGAACAGGGGGTCCTGGACGAGGCCGATGCTGCCGGTGAGGATGAGGAGGGAGGCGAGGCCGAGGAGCAGCAGGAGCAGCGCCAGGGCCGGTGCCGGGGGGCGGCTGTGGGACCGACCGGGGCCGGTCAGCGCCCCGACCCCAGCCCTGACCCCGCTGCGCTTTAGGGTCAGGATCACACCCCGCGCCCCAGCGCAGCGAAAATCTGGATCTGGGAACAACCCCGGGAGGAGAAATCCCAAAGGGGGAAACCCCAAAGGGGGCAAATCCCAGGGGGTGAATCCCAAAGAAGGATGGGATCCCCAGCAGGGATCGGGAATGGGGCCGGAGCAGCCCCGGTGGGGTCCCCCCGTCCCTCTCCAGGCGGGTTGGAGAACCCCAAATGGGAGCGAACCCCGATCTGTAAACCCAGAGCAGGGAGAGGAGGCGGCGCTGGATCGCCGGGAGCCGCTCCCGGAGCCTCGGACCGGGAATTCCGGGCGGGCAAAGGCAAAGCGGCGCCCGGTGACAGCGGCGGGGACACGTCAGCGGCAGCGGGGACAGCCCGGGAGGGGCGGGGGGGGGCTCCAGGCCGGGATCACCCCAATTCCCGGGATTTGGGCTCTCCGGGAGAGGCTCCGTGGCGTCTGAGCTTCCAGAGGAGATTTAAATCCAGCGGGAAAAGCGCACCTGCGGCCGCCCTCCCACGGGAACACCGGCATCGAGGGGCCTGTCCCCGGCTGTCCCCGACTGTTCCCGGCTGTCCCCGACTGTTCCCGGCTGTCCCCGACTGTTCCCGGCTGTCCCCGACCGTCCCCGACCGTCCCCGGTCCCTCCGATCCAGGAGAGACCAACCCCCCTTCCCCGGACAGGATCCCATTCCCCATTCCCGTTCCCCTTTTCCATCCCCCTGTTCTCCACTCCCCGTTCCCGGGGGTCTCTCCCCGTTCCCACTCCCCATTCCCGGGGGTCTCTCCCCGTTCCCGGGGGTCTCTCCCATTCCCGGGGGTCTCTCCCCGTTCCCGGGGGTCTCTCCCATTCCCGGGGGTCTCTCCCCGTTCCCGAGGGTCTCTCCCCATTCCCACTCCCCGTTCCCGGGGGTCTCTCCCGTTCCCGCGGGTCTCTCCCGTTCCCGCGGGTCTCTCCCCGTTCCCGGGGGTCTCTCTCGGGTCCCGCGGGTCTCTCCCCGTTCCCACTCCCCGTTCCCACTCCCCGTTCCCACTCCCCGTTCCCGGGGGTCTCTCCCCGTTCCCACTCCCCGTTCCCGGGGGTCTCTCCCCATTCCCGAGGGTCTCTCCCCATTCCCGGGGGTCTCTCCCCGTTCCCGGGGGTCTCTCCCGTTCCCGGGGGTCTGTCCCCGTTCCCGCGGGTCTCTCCCATTCCCGGGGGTCTCTCCCGTCCCCGGGGTCTCTCGGTCCCCACTCACTCCAGGGAGGTGACGGCGCTGACACCGAAGGCCACCGGGAGGGCGAGCAGGGGGGCGGCCAGCGCGGCCGGGCCCGCCGGGAGCTGCATCCCGGCCCCGCCGCCAGCACCGGGCCCGCGGACTTCGCCCCGGGACCGGCCCGGGCAGCGCCCTTAAAGCCACAGCGGCACCGGGACAGGGGCGGGACGGGGACGGGGGACACGGGAGGGACACGGGGACACCGGGCAGGGGGACACGGGACAGGGACAGAGGGACAGGGGGACACGGAGGGACCCTGGAAGGGAGGAAAGGAGTCCTGGGAATAAGGAAGGACGAGGGGAGAAGGACTGGGATGGGGAATGGGATCGGGAATGGGATCCAGGACTGGGATCGGGAATGGGATCCCAGACTGGGATCTGGGATCAGGAATGGGATCCAGGACTGGGATGGGGAATGGGATCTGGGAAGGACTGGGAATGGAATCCCAGACTGGGACCCCAGATTGGGATCCAGGGAAGGACAGAAGTCCTGAGAGGAGGGGCAAGGGGTCACAAAAGGAAAGATTTGGATCCCGGGGCTCCAGGCTCCCAGATTTTGGGTTTTCCCTGGATAATCTCCCCCCCCCGCCCCAAGCTTTGGAATGGTTTTAATTAAAAGCCAAACCCTTGACTCTGTAATTTAAAAAATTAACAAAGAATCACATCAAGTATTCCAAAAAAGGAACCAAACCCAACTTTTTTTTCCCTGAAAATCCTAGGAAAACCCAGCTCCATGGGAAGCCTCCCACCCTAAAAAAAAAACCAAAAAACAAAATCCCTCTCTTCCCAAAAAATTCCAAGGGTTAAACCTAAGGAACAAACAAGTTTAATTTTATTTACAGACTCAGTGAAGAAAATTTGTGTTTCCAGAGTTTTTTTTTTTTTCCGTTTTAGGACAACAAAATCCAACTGTATTTTTCCAAAGCGTGGTGCTGGAATTCTGTTGGATTTTTCCAAAGTGCGGCTTTGGAATTTTGGGTCTTCGTCATCCCAAAGCACAGAAGGTGTTGGCAAAATCCCTGGGAAGGGAATAAATCCCCCCTGGATCCATCAAATCCTGGAATTCCGAATGGATCCGGGCCAGATCCACCCGTCCAGAGGCAAAACTGGAGGCACTGGTTCCCCAAATTCCCCAAAATCCCTTGGATTTGGGGTTCCCAGATAAAATCAAGGAACAAAATCCCCCCCCCACTCCTGGAGCAGCACAAGAGCTGCCATTCCCAAAAATCCCAAACTCCTTGGAATTGGAGGCCCCTGGGGATTTTTGGGGCTGCTCCAAACCCTCCCCACCATGGGGGAAGGAGGAGTTGTGATTCCAAAAAAAAGCTGGATAATATTGGGAGAAAAGAGATGGATGATGAAGTTTGGGATAAGAATTCCCAGGAAATCTGTTGGGAAAAGCCCTCCTCAGTAGTAAGGTCGCCGTGGGTTGTTCTGTAGGGAGAAAAAAAATGGAAAAATCATCAGGATTTGGGATTTTATCCCAAAAATCAGCAACTGGACTCTCTGGGAAAGCCACTGGAATATGACATTTTCCAAGTTTTTTTCCCCCAAAATTAAAGGCAGCTTTTGGCTGGAAAGGGAAAAGGGAAAATCCAGGCTTGGTTTTGCCCCCTGGAAAATAAATGGCAATTGCAAAGAAATCATGGGATTCATGGAGAAGCTTCCCTTGGCAGGGGTTTAACTGGGATAAAAATGGGAAAAAAATTGGGATTTGAAGGGAAAAAAATGGGAAGGAGAATTCTGCATCCAGGGAATTCCAGGAGGACGATTTGCTTGAGGATGAGGAGAGAATCCAAGAGGAATTTCCCAGCTGCCAACATTCCCAGAGCTACACCAGAGATTCCAGGGATTTGTCCCTGGGTTTGCGTGCCTGGGTTTGGGACACTCCCGTTCCAGGGGATCCGCCCCTGCCCCATCCCAATGGATCCTTCTCTGCCCCATTCCAGGGACTCTCCCTCATCACTGGCTCCATCCCAATCCCATTCCCGACTCCACTCGATCCATCCCATCCCTATTCCCACGATCCCAGTTCAATCCCGTACCAGTGGGTTTGGCGGGAAGCCATACACCAGCATTAATCCCATCCCATTCCCGTGATCCCATTCCCATTCCTGTGATCCCATTCCCATTCCTGTGATCCCATTCCCGTGATCCCAATCCCATTCCCATTATCCCAATCCCGTGATCCCGTCACCCCATTCCCACTCCCGTGATCCCATTCCCATTCCCGTGATCCCAATCCCATTCCTGTGATCCCATTCCTGTGATCCCATTCCCATTATCCCAATCCCATTCCCGTGATCCCATTCCCGTGATCCCATTCCCGTGATCCCAATCCCATGATCCCAGTCCCATTCCCGTGATCCCAGTCCCATTCCCGTGATCCCAGTCCCATTCCCGTGATCCCAGTCCCATTCCCATGATCCCAGTCCCATTCCCGTGATCCCATTCCCGTGATCCCATTCCCGTGATCCCGATCCCATTCCCGTGATCCCATTCTCATTCCCGTGATCCCAGTCCCATTCCCGTGATCCCATTCCCGTGATCCCATTCCCATTCCCGTGATCCCATTCCCGTGATCCCAATCCCACTATCCCAATCCCACTCCCTTTATCCCGATCCCGGTATCCCGTTATCCCGTACCAGGGGGTTGGGCCGGAAGCGGTACGCCAGCATCATGCGCTTGCGGAAGGCCTCGTACTCATCATCCTCCTTGGTCAGCTCCGCCGGGCGCTCGATCCCGAATCCCGCCCCGTCCATGGTCGTGGTGCCCCTGCGGGAAACCCGGGAATGGCGCGGCTGCACACCCCCTCCCTGGGAATTCCCACGGGAATTCTGCCCCGGGACCTCCTCCCCAAGTCCCTGGGGCTTGGGTGGAAGCAGGGATTGGTTTCCTATCCCAAATTCCTGAGGGTTGGATGGAAGCAGGGATTGATTTCCTATCCCAAATTCCCAGAGTTTGGTATTGGATGGAAGCAGGAATTGGTTTCCTATCCCAAATTCCTGAGGGTTGGATGGAAGCAGGGATTGATTTCCTATCCCAAATTCCAAGAGTTTGGTATTGGATGGAAGCAGGGATTGGTTTCCTATCCCAAATTCCCAGGGTTTGGATGCAAGCTGATTCACCTAAAGAATCCCTCTGGAATACCCAAAGTGGGATCCAATCCCAACATTTCTGCGCATGGAATGAAATCAAGACTGGTAGGATCACACAAAGCCGGGATCCGGGCTGGAATATCCTCCCCTGGATCTGCTTCCCACTGTTTTTTTTAAAATATTTCCAGGATTTTATGACACCAAGAAGAGCAAATATTCCCAGGATTTTCTGATTTTAAGGATTTAATCCTGGGAGAGGGGAAGTGCAGACAGGAATTCTTGGAGCTGCACTTCTCTATGGAAATTTGGGTTGGAAATTCAGGATTTGGGGGCTCAGACAATTCCTGCACCAGCTACAGCCACAAATCCAGGAGAAATCTCCCAAAAAATATCAGGAATTCTCTGCTGGGCTGAGTTTTCCATGCTCAGGTGAGGAATCCCAGCTGGGCTGTGATTCCAGCAGGAATTCCTGGGAAAAAAGGAAGGGATAATCCATGGGAACACTCACTTGCTGACAGGATTTTTAATTCCCTGTCCATCAGATCCCAATCCCTCTCCTTCCTTCCATCCCATTTTCATCAGCATTTGGTATCCGATGTTTTCCACCGTCAGCTTGAATTCCTTGTACTCGGAATAATCCGGCTCCCGGCCCTCCTGCAGCGGGAAAAGGGGATGTTTTATTCCATGGATCATGGAAAAGCAGCTTCACCCGCCCCCAAATCGGGATTTCGGGAAAGAACTGCCAGGATTTCCCGGGATTCCAACAACAGCTCCGGAATTCCAGGTTGTTCCCTGGATCCAGCCTCAGATCCGGCTCTTTCCTAAGGCCGAATCCCTGGGAATGTCAGCCCCCGTGCTGGAAAACAGGGAATTCCAGGAATTCCAGGGTTTGGGAAGGACTGGAAGGTGTTGGAGTTGTGGGCGTGGGGTTTGCACTTTCCTGCAATCAGCAGGAGAAAAATTCCCATTTTTTCCCAGCTTGGTACCCACTGATCCCAAAGAGGAGCCGAGTGAGAGTTTGTCTGGAATTCCAGCAAAATCCCAAATCCTGGAATTCCAGAGTGGAAAGGGACCTTAAAGCCCATCCAGTCCTGTGGGCAGAGACACTTCCCACGATCCCAGGGTGCTCCCAGGGATGGAGCAGCCACGGATCCTTTGGGAATTCCCTCCCAGGGAAGGAATTTTCCCCAAACGTTGCCCCATTTCCCTGCTAAGAGCGGGAATCGGATCCCTTTTCTCCCTGCAGGAATGCCTAGAGCAGGGAGCGCCGGAGGAATTCCCAGCTGTGGGATGAGCATGGAGCATTCCCAGAATCCCAGAAATGCCCACCTTGAGTGCCTTGAAGGTCTCCATGAACTTTTCCAGCTCGTCGGGTGGGAGGAAATCCCCGATGAAATGTTTCCCTCGGCCCATCTGGGTCAGCTGCTCCGCCCACTCTGGAAAAGCAGGAAACACCCAGCTCATGGAGCATCCCTTGGGATTCCTGGAGCTGCCCAGGGATGGAATCCCTACTCTGGAAAACCATGGAGAGAGCAGCATTCCTGGAGAATCCCTTGGGATTTGTGGAGCATCCCAGGAGGGACTGTCCCTGCAGCTCCCAATCCATGAGGGTAGGGATGGAATTCCCGCTCTGGAATGGAATTCTCTCTGGAATTCCCAGTCTCACCCACCCCGTGCCTTGTCAATCTCCCTAGGGAAGGAATTCCCTCTGGAATTCCCAATCCCACCCATCCTGGGTCTTGTCCATCTCCTTAGGGATGGAATTCCTCTTCTGGAATGCTGATCCCACCCATCCCGGTGCTCCCTAGGGACGGAATTCCCCCTCTGGAATTCTCAGGGCCATGCACCGCAGCTCTTGTCCATCTCCATGTGGCGCCGGTGGTGCTCCCTAGGGATGGAATTCCCATCTGGAATTCCCAATCCCACCCTCCCAGTGCTCCCTAGGGCTGGAATTCCCTCTCTGGAACCCTCCGGAACGCCGAGCCCCTCACACCCTGTGTTTTGTCCATCTCCATGCGGCGCAGGCGGTGCTCCCAGGTGCCCAGGGCAGGGATGGAATTCCCAATCCCACCCTCCCCATGCTCCCTAGGGCTGGAATTCCCATCTGGAATTCCCTTCACCACGCACCCCGTGTTTTGTCCATCTCCATGCGGCGCAGGCGGTGCTCCCAGGTGCCCAGCTCGCTGTCCACCTCCTCGTCGCTGTCGTAGCCGTGCTGGTGCTGCTGCAGCGCGCGCTCCCACAGCAGCTGCATCTCCTGCATCGCCCGCTTGTGCTTCATGATCATGTCGTACATCTGCTGCATCTGCACAGCGCGGGGGAACGGGTCAGACCGGGGAAACGGGGCGTGTCACAAGAAAAGGGGTTTGTTCGGGGAAAAACGGGGTGTGTCACGGGAAAATGGGGTTTGTTCTGGGAAAAACGGGGTTCAGACTGGGAAAAATGGGGTTTGTTCGGGGAAAAATGGGGTTTGTCCTGGGAAAATGGGGTTTGTTCAGGGAAAAATGGGGTTCAGACTATGGAAAAATGAGATTTGTCCTGGGAAAATGGGGTTCAGACTGGGAAAATGGGGGTTGTTCAGGGAAAATGGGGTTTGTTTTGGGAAAATAGGGTTTGTCCTGGGGAAACAGGATTTGTCCTGGGGAAATGGGGTTTGTCCTAGGTAAAATGGGGTTCAGGCCAGGAAAAGTGGGTTCAACCTGGGGAAAATGGGATTTGTCCTGGGAAAATGGGGTTCAGCCCAGGAAAAATGGGGTTTAGCCTGGGAAAACGAGGTTTGTCCTGGAAAAACGGGATTCAGCCAGGGGAAAATGGGTTTTGTCCCAGGAATCCCAGTGGAGCACAGCCTGCTCCACAAAAAATGGCTCCAAACCCTAAAGGATTCCAAATCTCAGCCCCAAAAGACAGGAGAGCTGTGCTTGTGCTTCATGATCGAGTTGTAGATCTGCTGCATCTGGGAATCGTGGGAAAATGGGATTCGTCCCAGGAAAAACGGGATTCGTCCCCAGAAAAGCTCCTCTGGGACTTGGGGTTTTAGGGCTGGAAAGCTCCTTATTCCCAAACCCTCTGGTATTCCCGCTGATTCCAGCCTCACGCTGCTCCCAGGGAATCCCAGGGATTCCATGATGGAAAACCTTTGTTATTCCCAAGGGAGGGAACTCGGGGAGGATTTTTGGAATTTTGGGATTCACCTCCTGCTGCTCCTTCAGCTGCTTCTTCTGGGCCTCCGAGAGCTCCGTGACTCCCACCAGACCCACGGGTTTGCCCTTCTCGTATCCCAGACCCTTCAGGTCCTGAACTGCAGGAAAAAACAGGGAAAAACCTTTGGAAAAATCTGGGAGATTGGAAAAATCTGAGAGAGGGAACTGAAGGGAATAAAAGGGTGGGAAAAGAAGAAGGAAAAAAAGGAATTCTGTTTGTAATTCCTGCAGAGTGAAGGGAAAATGAAACCACTGGGAAAAAATGGGATTGACAGCAGAGATTTCTTGGAAAACTTGATCCATGTTCATCTCAAGAAATAAAAAACCACTTTGGAGGCACGGAATTCCCAGGAAAACCCAATCCCACTCACCTGAGAGGGGAGAGGGAGAATCCAGCTGCTGCACCAGCTGGGGGAGAGGCAATTCCACCTTCTCCTCCTCCGGCCCCCACCGGCTCTTCCTCTTCTTTTTGGTGCTGCCCGGAGCGGGACTCGGGATGGGGCCGGGATTTGGGGTCACGGATGGATTTGGGGTCGTGGCTGGGTTTGGGATTGGGGCAGAATTCGGGGCCAGCTGATCCGGAGGGGAGGTGGAGGACGAGGACGGGGCAGGAGAGGCCGAGGGAACGGGAAGAGCGGCGGGAAGAACGGGAGAGGGAACGGGGAGAGGCAGAGGCGGCGGGACCGGGATGGGGATGGGGAGAGGGGAGGGAACGGGAACGGGGAGAGGCGGGAAGCACAGAGGGGAGGGAGAAGCCTCGGGACTGCTTTTCCGTTTGAGGCCGGAGTCTCCGGGAAAAGGGGAGCCCCCAGGAAAAGGGGGATTCCCGGGAAAGGGGGGATTCCCGGAAAAAGGGGGATTCCCGGAAAAAGGGGGATTCCCGGAAAAAGGGGGATTCCCAGGGGCAGCCCGGGCCCTGCGGAACTCCTCCAGCTTCTGGCGGTAGTAGCGGTGCCCTTTGCTGTGGGGCTCGTACAGGAACCTGCAAACAACGGGATCAGCCGGGAATTCCTGCCGGGAATGCTCACAGCACTCCCAGGGCATTCCCAGATCTCCAGCTCCACTCAGAGCAGGGATCCAGCCATGGAATTCCTGCCTGGATTGCTCACAGCATTCCCAGGACACTCCCAGGGCATTTCCAGCTCCCCAGTCAGGGATCCAGCACAGTTTCCTCAGGACTTTTCCCTCCTGCATTTCCCAGAGCATTCCCAGCTCTCCAGGGCTGGGATCCAGCACTGGAATTTTCCTTCCTGGAATGCCCACAGAATTCCCAGAGCATTCCCAGCTCTCCAGCACCATCCCGTGTATTCCCGCAGCCAGTGCAGCTTCCACTGGGATCAGGGAACACAATTCCATAAAGGAAAAGCAGCCCCAAAAAGCAGGAATGTGCTGATTCCTCTGCACCCCAAACCTGAGCACCTCCAGTCTCGCTGCTCCAAAACCTCAACCTAAGAATTCCCGGGACTTTCCCTGGGAATTCCCAGGAACAAAGCCCCCCGAAAAGGAGGAATTCTGCGCACCTGAAGGCAGGGTTCTCCCTGTTGTTCTGCAGGGCAATGGCCTCCACCTCGGGCCCCCCTGCAGCCACGAACTGCGCCAGCTTCTCGGCCGAGTTGCGCGTCTCCTGGTCGGCTGGGGGGGAAACTTTAGGCAGGGATTAGTCCCGGGCCCAGCTCACCCCAGCCCAGCCTAACCCGGCCTAAGGACCCCAGAGAGGCCTAAAGTCGGGTTTAAAGGGGAGAATCGGTACAAAGGCATGGTTAAATAGCATAAAACATCAGGTTAAAGCCAAATTTGGGGTGGGGGAATGGACCTAAGGACTGCAATGAGGCCTAAAGTCGGGTTTAAAGGGGAGAATTGGCACAAAGGAACTGTTAAATAGCATAAAACATCAGGTTAAACCCAAATTTGGGATGGGGGAAAGGACCTACGGACTGCAGTGAGGCCTAAAGCCGGGCTTAAAGGGGAGAATTGGCACAAAGGAACGGTTAAATAGCATAAAACATCAGGTTAAACCCAAATTTGGGATGGGGGAAAGGACCTAAGGACTGCAATGAGGCCTAAAGTTGGGTTTAAAGGGGGGAATTGGCACAAAGGAACAGCTGAAAGGACAAAAACTTAATCTTAGGCCTGACTTTGGGGAGCAGGGATGGGAGACATGAGACACAAGGCAGCTTTGGGCTCCCAAATCCCAAATTTTTCATGTGCCAGGCACTTTTCTCTAGGATTAAACCACTTGGAATTAAGCCTAGTTAAAGGTTTTGTCATTTTCCATTGGATTAAATCACCTGGAATTATCCCTAATTTAAAATTTTGGGTTTTTCCCTTGTGCCACGTGTTTTTCCATAGGATTTCACCACCCAGGATTATCCATTTTTCAATGTTTTGCCCCTGAATTACCCAGGGACAACAGGAAATCCTTTGGAAAATTCCAAATTCCCTATAAATCCACTTAAGTCTCCTCTCACTGCACCCCCTGGAGGCTGTTTCAGGGGAAATTCCCTATGGAAAATCCCAAATCTCACCTGGAAAAGGGTGGATACTCCAATCAAATCCAACAAAAACTGAGGGGGAAAAAATTCCCCTTTTCCTAAATTTTCAATGCTAGAGAATTATTTTGGATTTTTTGACAAATACAAGGGAAATCCCACTCAAAATCCCAGGAATATTTTGAGAATCCACATTTTTGGCACAAGGATTTGATTCTCCTTCCAGTTGGGAATTTTCTTTCCAGGCAGCCAAATTTCCACCCCAGTCCCAAATAACCCCCAAATTTCCCTCGTGCTGTTGCCATTTCCCAGATTTTAGTGGGAATTACCTTTCTGGGAAGAGGCTGCCTGGGAATTTTGATTTTCTTTCCTTATTTCTGCCACTTTCTTCCTGTAGTAAAGGAATTCTCTGCTGTTCTTATCATGCAAAAACCTGGGGAAAAGGGAAAAAAAAAAAGAGAAATAATTATCCAAATATTGATATTCTGGGATAGAAACAGCTCCAGCTCCCACATGGAAAAGTGGAGGAATTACTCAGAATGCACCTAAAGTATGGAATTAGATTTTGGAGTTACAATCCAAGGATTTGCATCCAAATTTTTGTTGCTTGAAGGGAAATTAAAGAGGAATCCTCTGCCAATAAGTGCTGGGATTAAAAAACTTTTCCACCCCTCAAATCCAAACATTTTCTCCCCTCAAATCCCAAGTTTTCCTTTTCAGGAAATGACAAGAAACACAAACTTTCCCCTCTCAAATTCCAAATTCTCCCCCTCATAGGGAAGAACACGAAACCCAAACCTTTTCTCCACTCAAATCCCAGATTCCCCCCCTCAGGGAAGAACACCAAACCCAGATTTTCCCCCTCACAGGAATAACACCAAACCCAAACTTCCCCCTCTCAAATCCCAAATTTTCCCCCTCAGGGAAGAACACCAAAACCAAATTTTCCCTCTCAGGGAAGAACACCAAACCCAAACTTTCCCCTCTCAGGACACAACCCCCGGCGTTCCCTGGGGACGAGGGCGCTCCCAAACTCACGAAAAAGCAGGGTTGTCCTTGTAGTCCTCCATGGCGACCTTCTCCAGCTCGGGGCCGCCCTCAGCCACGAACCTGGCCAGCTTTTCCACCACCTGCCGCGTCTCCGAGTCCTCTGGGGGCAAAACTTTAAGGAGGCTGTCAGTACTTGGGGCTCAACTGCCCCCGAACGGGAAACAGGGGATTACTGCCGAGCACCACGGAGCAGACACGCGGCAATATGGGGAGAGAAAGGACGAAACGGGGCAGGCAGTTGTAGGAAGGTGTTCACAGCGCAATTCCCGAGTTTTTCTGCGGAGTTCTGAGCTTCCCCAGGGGAAAATCTAAGTTTCAGGGCGGGAGGAGGTTAAAGCTCGTCCCATTCCCGCTTTTTCCGCTGGCCTAAGCTTTCCTTGGACGCTTGCACAGCTTCTCTGGGAATTGCAGCTCAGCCCCTCATCACCCCCCCCTCCCAGCCAGGAATTCCTTCCCAAAATCCCACCTAAATCCACCCTTCCTCAGTCTGAAGCCATTCCCTGGCTCCTGGAATTCCATCCCTTATCCCAAATTCTCTGCAGCTCTCCCTGAGGCCTTTTAGGCTCTGAGGTCTGCCTGGAATTTCTCTTCTCCAGCTCCCAGGGATCCAGGGGCAGCCACAGCTTCTCTGGGAATTCCAGCCCATTCCAGGCAGGAATTCCTTCCCAAAATCCCACCCAAATTCCCCTTTTTCTGTTTAAATCCGTTCCCAGTGTCCTGTCCCTCCATCCCCTGTCCCAAATCCCTCTCCAGCTCTCCTGGAGCCCCTTTAGGCTCTGGAAGCAGCTCCAAGGTTTTCCTGGAGCCTTCCCTTCTCCCACTTTCCTTGGGCATTCCAGGGACTGGGAATCCACCACCCCATCCCAGTTTGGAGGCTTCAATTGCACCCAGCTCATCCCAGCTTTAACACAGTTGGCTCCTGCTGGATTCGTTCCTTAAAAATCCCAGCAAGGAAAGAGCAGGAATTTGGTTTAATCCAGATTCCAGCTGCCAAGCCATTCCCAGAACATTCCAGCCTGTGTGGCTGGAGCAGCAGCTTTTCTTGCTCAAAAAAAACCCCAAAAAAACCCTTGGAGTTTGGATTCTGTGCCCAGGAATTCCCACAGGGATCACGGAGTGGGAATAAATCCAACAGGATCAGCCCCAAAATCCTGAAATTAAGGCAAACCCAGCGCAGCTCTCCGCACATTTCCCAGCATGTTTCATGCTCGATTCCCAAATTCCCAGGATTGTGCTGGTACAAATCCCAGCAGAAAGGGTTCTGTGGGATTCTGGGGACGGATAAATGCAGCCACAAAGCCGAGCGTGGCTCGCTGAGCTCCTTTTATCCATTAAAACCCACCCATGAAATTCCCATTCTAAGGCAAATCGGCCTTGGGGCTTCCTGCCCTGGATTATCCCAATAAAACCCGGGATAATTCCTGCCACATCCTTGTTTTTCCAGGCGTTCAGGACCTCCAGGTGAGATTTTTTTACCTGGATTTTGGATTTTACCTGGGAACAGCTCCGTGCTGGAAGCGTCGTTTATTTTATTTATTCGCACACATGGATTTGCCCCGCACGTTCCCAAACTAATTCCTCCTTTTCCAGCACTTAAACCCCCAAAATCCCGTTTTAAAGAGAAGAATAAGGATTTCTTGGAGAGCCCAGCACTTGGCACAACATTCCAAAGGTGCAAGTGGAATTTTTAGGATTTGCCACCCACCAAATCCATTAAAACACAACATTTTCTCCCTATCTGTTATTTTCTGATATTTTTGGCTGGCTAAGCTCTCAGACAATTTGAAGACAAAAAATCTTCCAGGCTGAGGTCAGTAATACTTAAACACTGAACTCAAGGAAGGTCAGGAATATCTAAAACATCAGGAATTTAACATGCCAAATATTGGGAATTTCATATCTAAAACGTCAGGAATTTAATCCCTTAGATTTTGGTTGGATTTGGAAGAGCTCACCAGCATTAAGTGCTGGAATTTTCACTCCATAAAGGAGAAATCTGCCCCAAAACTGTGCTGGGAATATACGTTCATAATAAATAGGGATAAAATAACCAGCTTTCCAATGGGGCTGAGGGAATCCTGTCCCAAACTGAGCCCTGTCCTGGGATAAAACCACCCAAAATCCTGTCTCAAACTGAGCCCTGTCCTGGGATAAAACCACGCCAAATCCCGCCCCAAACTGAACCCTATCCTGGGATAAAACCAGCCCAAACTGAGCCCTATTCTGGGATGAAATCACCCCAAATCCTGTCCCAAACTGAGCCCTATCCTAGGAGGGAATCCTGCCCCCCCCCCGACCCTTATCCTAGGATAAATCCACCCAACTTCCCACTAGGACTGAGGGAATCCTGTCCCAAACTGATCCCTTATCCCAAAACCTGAATCCCACCCCATTCCCCACTTGAGGGAATCCTGTCCCAAACTGATCCCTTACCCCAAAACCTGAACCTCACCCCACTCCTGCCTGGCCTGAGGGAATCCTGCCCCCACATTCCCAGCTCCAGGTGCGGAGCAGGAGCTGCCACTGACCTTTGATCTCCAACCACTGCTCGTAATCCTCCTCCTCATCCTCGTCGGGGCCCTGGAAGACGCTGAGGCGGCTGAGGACGGGGCTGGGCTTGGGCAGGGAGAGGCTCCGTGCCTGCAGCATGCGGCTCAGCGCCTGCCCCGGCCGCTTCCCCAGCAGCGCCGGCTTCTTCCCGGGCTGTGGGGTTGGGGTGCTCCCGGTGCTGTTGGGGGGATTTGGTGCATTTTCTGTGGAGAAAATAAGGGAAATTATTCTTGGAAATCCCACATTTGATGTGGGAAAGCCTCAGCGCCTGCCCCGGCCGCTTCCCCAGCAGCGCCGGCTTCTTCCCGGGCTGCGGGGTTGGGGCACTCCCGGTGCTGTTGGGGGGATTTGGTGCATTTTCTGTGGAGAAAGTAAGGGAAATTATTCTTGGAAATCCCACATTTGATGTGGGAAGGTCTCCAGGCCTGCCCTGAGAGAAGGGAAGTTATTCTCGGCTTCTTCCCAGGGTTTGGGGCTGGAGGGTTCCCGGGGTTGCTGGGGGGATTTGGGGCATTTTCTGTGGAGAAAACAAAGGGAACTTATCCTGGCAGTCCTAGGGTTTGGGCTGGGGTATTCCTGGAGTTGTTAGGGGGATTTAGGGCATTTTCTGAAGTGAGAAGGAAAGGAAATTATTCCTGGGAATCCTGGGTTTGGGCTGGAAGAGGCTCCAGGTCTGCCCCGCCGCTTCTTCCCCAGGTTTGGAGCTGGGGCATTTTCAGAACTTTTGAGGGGATTTGGGGCAGTTTGTGAGGGGAGAATGAAGGGGACAGAGTTCCTGGGAATCCCAGGTTTGGGTTGGGAAAGGAAGGACCTACCAGCATTGGATTTTTCCCTCTGGAGCTTCAGGAACTGCTGCAGGAAGCTCCCATCGTTCACAAACTTGTTGGACACGGAGGCCTCGCTCTCAGAGCCATCGTCGCTGAGCGGGGACAGAAAAACAGGGGCTGGAATTCGGGAGCCTCCCTGCCCTTTCCATGTGGGATTTGGGACAGGAAAAACCCCTGGAACTGGTCATTTTCCTCACCTACCTCCGCACTACTAAAAGAACCCCAAATCTCCTTCCTCTTCCATTAAAATTGGGATTTCCCCCACTCTGCTCCGCTAAAAATGGGATTCTTGCTCCTTAATCCACCAAACCCATGATTTTCCCCCGTCCGCTCCACTAAAACTGGGATTCTTGCTCCCTAGTCCACCAAAACTGTGATTTTCCTCCTTCTGCTCCATTAAAATTGGGTTTTTCTCAGTCTGCTCCACCAAAACTGGGATTTTCCTCCCCTTGCTGCACCGAAACTGGGATTCTTGCTCCTTAATCCACCGAAATCGTGATTTCCCCCCTCTGCTCCACTAAACTGGGATTCTTGCTGCCTAATCCACCAAAACCTCCTTCTGCTCCGTTAAAATTGAGATTTTCCTCCCTCGGCTCCCTTTCCTCCCTCGGCAGAACGCCGGGCTTGCCGGGATTCCCACGTACTCTCCGAGCAGCGGGAGCTGCGGGATGCTGAGGGAATTCTGCCGCGCCTGCTGCTCCAGCCGCGCCTCGATCTCCCGCTTCTTCTGGGCGATCAGCTCCTCCTGCTGCAGGATGTTCACGCTCGTCTTGGCCGACTTGGACTGCGACACGCCGAACCACCGGCTCGCCTTCCCTGAGGGAAAAGGGCGGGAATTAACTCAGGAATTGTCCAGAATAAGGGACACATTCCCTGAGGAAAAGAGGCTGGAATTAGCCTGGGAATTGTCTGGAATGTGGGGTGCATTCCCTGAGGGAAAAGGTGGGAATTAACTCAGGGATTGTCTGGAATAAGGGACACATTCCCTGAGGGAAAAGGGCAGGAATTACCTCTAGAATTGTCCAGAAAAAGGGACACATTCCCTAAGGGAAAAAGTGGGAATTGGTCTGGGAATTGTCCCCAATCAAGGGTGCACTCCCTGAGGGAAAAGGGCAGGAATTAACTCGGAATGAAGGGTGCATTCTCCTTTTCCCCTGAGGGAAAAGGGCTGGAATTAGTTTGGGAATTGTCCAGAAACAGGGGCGCCATTCCCTGAGGGAAAAAAGTGGGAATTAGTCTGGGAATTGTCTCGAATTAACTCCAGAATTGTGAATGAGGGGCGCATTCCCTGAGGGAAAAGACTGGGATTTAACAGGGATCACTGCAGATCAAGCTCACATTCCCTGTGGGAAAAAGGCAGGATTAGAGCAGGAGCCATCCTGAATTCAGCTTCCCTGAGGGAAAAGGAGGGAATTAATGGAGAGACCACCCAAACCAAGGCTGGTCTTCCCTGTGGAAAAAGGGGGGAATGAACAGGAACCATCCCGAAATCAGGGGCATCCTTCCTGAAGGGAAAAGCTGGCATTTAACAGGAATCATCCTGAACCAAGGGTCGCATTCCCTGTGGGAAAAGAGGGGAGATTAACACAGGCATCATCCCTAAACAAGGCTTGCTCTCCCTGTGGGAAAAGGGAAGGAATAAACTGTGGGATCATCCCAAACTCAGCTTCGCTATAGAAAAAAAAACAGGAAAAAATCAACAGTGGAGTCTCCACAAACCACCAGCTCAGCTTTCCTACGGGAAAAGAGAGGGAATGAACAGTTGGGGTTCCTGTGGGAAAAGGGGAGGAAAAATCACCAGTGGAGCCTCCCCGAACTACCGGCTCTGCTTCCCTGGGGGAAAAGAGGAGGAAAAATAACGGGGAGACCACCCCGGACCCCGGCTCCGTTTTCCTGAGGGAGAACGGGGGGAAATTAACAGAGGAACCATCCCGAACCAGCAGCCCGGCTTCCCTAGGGGAAAACGAGCCGGGACCGACGGCGGGGATCCATCCCGGAAAAAGGAGGGGGAAAAGGAGGGAATTTAACGGGCCGGCTTCTCCCCAGCCACCGACTCTGCCGGCACACCCCCACCCCGGGCGCACACCCCCACCCCCGCCTCCCGGAGCCCCGGGAGCGGCGGGGCCGAGGCGGGGGATGGCAGCGGGGCGGGAGGAGCGGGGAGGAGCGGGGCAGAGCGGCGGGAGCGGCGGGGGCCGCCCGGCCGGGCCGTACCTGGTGCATCCCTGTGGTTGTCCATTTTGGAGCCCCCTTCCCAGCGTGCCCCGCGCCGGGCGCGCCGCGCCAGGGGCCGCGCCAGCGCAAGCGCCCCTGGGAGATGTAGTCCCTCAGGGCGCCATCCCGCCGCTCTCCCCGCTCCTCCCGCCGCACCGAGCCCCGCTGGCGGGGCGGCCGAATCACCCCGCTCTGGCGGCTCCGCCGCGACGGTCATTCCCCGGTTCGCCTCGCATCCTATCGGTGCGAAAGGGCAGACTACCGCTCCCACCGCCCCTCCGCGCCGGAGGCGTTCGGACTCCAAGTCCCGTCGTGCCCCGCGCCTCGCGGCGGTGTTGTCGGCGGCCCCAAGATGGCGGCGGTGGCGGCGGGCGCGGCGGCCCCTCAGCAGCCGCCGCCGCCTCAGCAGCCGCCGCAGCCGGCGGGAGGCGGCGGGAGCGGCTCCGGGGAGGCGGCGGGAGCCGCGGGCGGTGCGGGAGGCGGCGGCGGAGCTGCCGGAGGCGGCGGCGGCGCAGCGGGGCCTGCGCCGGGCTCGGGGTCGGGCGGCGGCGCGGCCGCGGGCGAGTCGTGGTACCTGGCGCTGCTGGGCCTGGCCGAGCATTTCCGCACGTCCAGCCCGCCCAAGGTGCGGCTGTGCGTGCACTGCCTGCAGGCCGTGCTGCCCCGCAAGCCCCCGGCCCGCATGGAGGCCCGCACGCACCTCCAGCTCGGCTCCGTCCTCTACCACCACACCCGCAACGGCGACCAGGCCCGCGGGCACCTGGAGAAGGCGGTGAGCGGCGCCGGGGCGGCCTCGGGGGGCGCAGGGCACGGAGGAGCGGCTGGGGATGGTGGGCACGGGGGTCTGGCTCTTGGAGAAGGTAAGGAGTAGCGGGAGGGGTGGCTGAGAGGTGCTGGGGAAGATGAGGAGCAGGGCAAGGGGGCGGTGGGAGGCTCGTGGCACGGGGCAGGAGGGTGTCAGGCGGTGCTGGGGGGTGTTAGTGCCGGTCTAACCCGCTGTGTTCTCTTGCAGTGGCTGATATCCCAGCAGGTATCCTTTTCCCGGGATCCAGGAAGAGCTCCGAGCTCAGAACAGCTCCAAGGAAACTCCCAAAACACCTCAAGGGCCTGGGGGTGGGGGTATGGAATGGGTGGTTTTAATCTGCTGTTACAGAACCACAGAGTTTGGGTTGGAAGGGACCTTAAATCCCCTCTCATCCCCATTTTCCTGAGGGGTTTCGGAGGCTTTGCTGCTCTTTCCCACCCAGATTTTGTGGTTCCCTTAACCCTGGTGCCAGATCCCCCAGTTTGAAGATGTGAAGTTTGAAGCAGCCAGTTTGCTGTCGGAGCTCTACTGCCAGGAGGTGAGAGAGCCCCCCCAAAACCCCTCTGTGCCCCTCGGATTTGGGGTTGGAACGCGGTATTCCCGTGAAAAATCACATTTCTGACACCAGAGGCTTTTTTCCTTCCTTGTTGAGGACGTTTCTCCTGGAATTGCATCAAGAGTTTCCCAGTGGAAAAGGATTTTGCTTGGCCAAATAAACCTTTGGGTCCTTATTAAACGAATGTTAATTTTACGGGCGGGAGAGAGGGAGGGAAATCCATAATTTTCCTCAGGATTTTGCATATCCTGGAATGGTTTGGATTGGAAAGACCTTAAATCCCATCTAATCCCACCCTGCCACGTGCAGGGACACCTCCCAAAATCCCAGATTTCACCAGGCCTCCCAAAATCCCAGATTTCTCCAGTCAGATTTCTCCAATCCTCCCAAAATCCCAGATTTCTCCAGTCAGATTTCTCCAATCCTCCACAATCCCAAATTTCTCCAGTCAGATTTCTCCAGTCCTCCCAAAATCCCAGATTTCTCCAGTCCCATCCGCCCTACCGTGGCCATTCCAAGGACGGAGCAGCCCCAAACCTCTCCTGCTTTAATTTTCTTTTTTCCAGCACTCTGATCCCTCCCGGGAGGGCTGGGCGTGGTTTTCCAGGGAATTCCCGTGGTTTTCCAGGGAATTCCCAGCCTCTGGAGCTGCTGGGTGCTGACTGGGGCTCTTTGTCGTGCAGAATTCCGTGGACACGGCCAAGCCCCTGCTGCGAAAAGCCATCCAGATCTCCCAGCAGACTCCCTACTGGCACTGCAGGCTGCTCTTCCAGCTGGCTGTGAGTCCTTGCAGCAGCAATTCCTGGGGGAAAAAATCCTGGAAAAATCCTGCATCCCCCTTCAGAACAGCCTGGAAGCCTTGCATTCTGTTATTCCCTAAAAAATTGCTGTGAACGGCTGCTTTTTATCCCTTTGATCCCTAAAAATTTGTTGTTAATGGAGAGGGAAAAGGCAGTTGGTGTTGGATTGGATCAAGGAATCAGCCAGGATTACTCTGTGGGAATTAGAGACCTGGAATTCCAAGGATGGAGGAAAAAAAATCCATTTTGGGGTTTGCAGGGAGAGCAAATCCTGCTGGGGTTGGGAGCGTTGGTTGTTTTATGTTTAATGAGGGATGTGGGATGGGAGGAGTAGGAAAAGTAACCAGGGAAAGGAGCAAGGGAAAGAATCCAAGGAAAATTCTTGTTCCTGGTCTGGAATACGTTCCAAAATGCTTATAAATTAAAAATATTTATAGGAATAGAGGTGCACTGAAGCATATTTATGGAAAAAGAACTTTAATTCCCTTTCGATTAAGGAATATTTAGTTTTCCAGGAGTTCCAGGAGCTTGTTCTCTTCCTGAGTTCCCACCTGGGTTTGGGAACGGGATCAAATTTGGGAGCACACCTTGGAGGCTCCTCGTGCTGGGAAAACTCTTGCTCCAGTGTGACAATCCCTGGGGTGTTTGGAGCTGTTGGGATCTGATCAGCACTGGATTTTCACCCTTTGCAATTTTTAACCAATTTCTCACTAATGAGGAATTTGAAGGGGAAAAAAATCCTTCTGGGCTCAGACAAATCCTTGGAAACGCCACAGATGTCTTTGGAAAACGGGTCTGAAACCCCTTTAAGGAGCAGGAATTTACAAGTCCAGGGATAATGGTGTTTTCTTGGGATTCATGGAGCAAATCCTGAGTTTTTGTGGCTTTTTTTATTCCTGTTTCAGCAACTCCACACGCTGGAGAAGGATTTGGTGTCGGCCTGTGACCTGCTGGGCGTGGGGGCCGAGTACGCCCGCGTGGTGGGCTCCGAGTACACCAGGTGACAATTCCTGAGGGATCCCGGCATTCCTGCCTGAATTCCCTGGGATTTCCTGCCTGAATTTCCTGGGATTTCCCGCCTGAATTCCCTGGGATTTCCTGCATGAATTCCTGGGATTTCCCGCCTGAATTCCCTGGGGTTTCCTGCCAGAATTCCTGGGATTTCCTCCCTGAATTCGCTGGAATTTCCTCCCCTGATTTCCTGGGAATTCCTCTATCAGCTGCCCTAATTCTCTTTTTTTTCCCCTGTTTTTAGTGGGAGAAAAAGGCAGATTCGTTTTTTTTTTTTTTTCCTGGTGGTTTGATTTAATTTTATTTTCTTTCATTCCAGAGCCCTGTTTCTGCTCAGCAAGGGGATGGTGAGTTACAAATCTTTTTAAAATAAATTATTTCCTGTTTAATTGCAAATTCCAGAGGATTTTTTTTTTTTTTTTTGAGGGGGGGAGATGGGGGTGGATAAGCAGGACTCCTATGGATAAATTCAGCTTTTTCCATTTTTTTTCTTTCTGGGAAGAATATAAGAATCATTGGAAATTTTCATTGGAGCTTTTGTAATGAGGGATGGAAAAGCTGGCGGGGTAAAAGAGGGGTGGGAATCAGGTGGATATTCCAATCTTAATTCCTGGAATTGGAGAGTCCGTGGAATTGGGGAATCCGTGGAATTGGGGAATCCATGGAATTGTTTGGCTTGGAAGATCCAGGCACACCTCCCACTGTCCCAGGCAGCTCCAGCCTGGCTTTGGGCAATTCCAGGCTTGAGGCAGCCCCGTTTTTTGTGGGGAATTGTCGCTCCCGGCGGGTTTCTCCGGCCCAAAGCTGGATTTCCTTGGAATTGCAGCTGCTGCTGATGGAGAGGAAGCTGCAGGAGGTTCACCCGCTGCTGACGCTGTGCGGGCAGATCGTGGAGAACTGGCAGGGCAATCCCATCCAGAAGGAATCCCTCAGGGTCTTCTTCCTGGTCCTGCAGGTCACACATTACCTGGACGCCGGCCAGGTATGTGCCACCTTCCAGCCCGGAGTCTGGGACGGGATGTGCCCTAAAAAATCCGCCCTCAGGGGATTTTCAGTTTTTTTTTTTTTCATAATGGAAGCAAACTCCTGTTATTTTTATTCCCAAACTAAATGAAGAATGAGGAAATCATGTTAATTAAGAGATGTCGTCAATGATGTTTTTCTATCCATGGTGGTCTCTGGTGTGTTGGAGGGAATAACAGGAATTTTGGGGGGATTTTGGGAATATTTTGAGCATCCCTTGGTGCCGGTCACCCCTGTGAAGCGCTGAGCATCATCAATCCTAAACCAACCCCCTGAGCGTGGGAGTTACCGCTGTGCTGGGGGGTTCCCCTCTCCCGGAGCACCCAGCAGCAGGAACGTGCGGCATTCCCGGTGGGAATTGTTGGGAATGGCTCCGGCAGGTGAAGAGCGTGAAGCCGTGCCTGAAGCAGCTGCAGCAGTGCATCCAAACCATCTCCACCCTGCACGACGACGAGATCCTGCCCAGCAACCCCGCCGACCTCTTCCACTGGCTGCCCAAGGAGCACATGTGTGTGCTGGTCTACCTGGTGAGAGCTAATTACTGCTAATTGCCCCTAACGAGGGGTTTGGAGCCAGCGGGGATGGGGTTCGGAGCTGCTTTGGGCTGCTTCTCCCTCAGCGGCCCTGGGGGGATGCAAGGGGGCTGCTCTGTGTGTGAGGAGATTTCCAGGCTGGAAATGGGGATTAATTAATTAATTAGTTATCAAATTATTTATTTATTAGTCTGACTCACATGGAAATGGAATTGTTTGTAGAAATCAGAGCAACTTTGGCTTAATTTTATCAACTGTTTGGTGCTTTTTTCCCCTCAGCAGCCCTGGGGGGATGCAAGGGGCTGCTCCGTGTGTGAGGAGATTTCCAGGCTGGAAATGGGAATTAATTAATTAATAACTCATTAATTCATTAATTAATACCTGAGTCAAATGAAAATTGAGTCATTTGTACAAAGCAGAACTGCTTTGGCATCATGATATCAACATGAGGAGAGCTGGATTTGGAATTGCTGAAGGATTTTGTTCCAGTTCTTGGAGATGGTT